TGATATAAACAAAGAGGTAGATGAGGACATACAAAAAGTGTGATTGTTGATGGTAAAACTGGTAAAATTGTTTGGCATAAAATGTGTTATATTGCCTATACGAACAAACAAAATATTGAAAGTTTAAGGAAAAGAGTGGAAAGACTGAAAGAGTACAGAGTAGCTGGTATTGAACCTCCACCACTTCCTGGTAGATCACTTCGTAAGGGTGGCTTTCACATAAATAAATGTGTATTTTGCTAGAAGCTATCTCTTGGGAAGAGATTATCCCAAGTTATGTCTAAAAATATAGAAACTAAAGTAAAAACATTGCATCGATCTCTTCAGAAGTTTTAGAAAGAATTGGCTCCAATGATTTAATAGCAATGGAGGTAAAATATCATGTGAATTGCCTAATGACAGAATAGAATAAAAAAATTGGGAAAACAATTGGGTAAACCACAAACACTTAAATGGAATTGGTACGGATGATTTTTCAGAAAATATGTTCGAGGATATTCAGATCATTATTATAAAACTATATTAAAAAATCATAATATTACGTCAGTAAACACTTTAAGAGGTTTGTTAGCATCGTCTTCAACAATTGCAAATCTGCTTCCGACTGAAGATACTTTGCGATTCCATTATTTGAGGACCTATTATCAGTCAATTGTTTAGAACTCTGTCCAAAATTGCCTTGTATTGCCGACTGTGGATAGAAAAATTGATAAAGACATTTGAACGTTCTTCATGTGGATGCAAAAAGGTAAGATAATAAGTAGCAACCATTTTTGTAGTAATAAAATTTAAATTTTCTTAGATTGTGAAAGCAAGGTTTGCACTTACAAGAAAAGTAATATGGGTTGAATTTGGTCCTGTAAAAACATGGCTCAAAATCTTGCAAAAAGTTCGATGAGAAACGTGACTTGGATAAATAGTGTTTTTTATCTGTTAATCATGTTCCTAATTGTTAATAAAAAGGACTTTTTTATGTATGTATTTTATATACAGGATCTCCGGTTCATGTTTCAAAAAAAAACTTGTGTGCAGGTTCCTCATGGGAAAATAATAGGGGTAGTTCATGTGAGTTTACAGAACCGTTTAGAAATGTAATAAATATTGTTTTTTAACATATTTTTTTTTTCTATTGCACATTATTATTGTTAACGCACAGTAGATATTTATTTGTCTACAAATTTTGGCATTTTTATCTTTAGCCGATTTAAAGATAATTAAGAAAAACCATTTGGAAAGTAACAATTTCAACACACTGTATCTCGAAAACAGGGCGTCTAAGAAAAAAACTTTGCATGAACTACCCTTATTATTTTTCCATGAAGAACGTGCACACAAGTTGAACATGAACGGGACACCCTGTATATATTTATTAACTTTTAAATCTAATTATTAAAAAAATCGTATTTTAAATCTGTAGGAGTGAGACATAATTTATTTTACTAATTTTGCATATACATATTTTTCAAATTTGTATGTAGTAGGGTTATCACTAGAGACCGCACTTCATTCGCACATCTCAGGTCCGTACTTCAGCCGACGATCTCAATATTTAAATATTCATCCATTCTTCACAAAATAATACTAGTGCCGGCTAATCGGCAAAAGCACCATGTTTATTTACCCCGCACCTGTCAAGGTCATGGTAGTCGGTCGACGGACGGGGGAACGGATTTCATTCCTATTAGACGGGGCTGTTCAAGTCATACATCAATCATCAACATCACATTAGTTGCATGCTAATCATACGTAAGGAAACGTCGCGTCTTGTCCAGTAACAGTACGGTGTATATGCATATTTTTAATTATAAGTGTTAGTTTTTATTGAGAGATGATAGTCTCAAAATTTTATGGGGTGAGAACTATGAAGCCAAGAAAGACCGTGTGCTGCTCTTTGTAACGGATGCGGCTGCGTACATGAAAGTGGCTGGGAATCGTCTTCGCGAGACCTACTGCAACGCGTTGCATGTGACATGTTTCGCACATGGATTACATAAAGTCGCCGAGACGATTGGAGAGTGCTATCCCAATGTCGACAAATTGATAACTAATGTTAAGTTAGTTAAATTTGTTCAAAGAAACTCTTCCAGGCGTACCACTACCTCCAGAACCTGTTTTGACACGGTACGTGGTTAGACGCAACGTCTTATTATTACGTACACTTTGACGGCATAAAAATGGTTATACAGCAATTGGATTCAAGTGATGTTACTTCTATTTTATGTGCTCAAAGGTGCACTCTATTTATGTGCTTTAACGATCCTACACTTCGTGAAGATTTAGCATACATACATTTTAATTATTCACGAATACCGTCAGTTTGCCGTCTTGAAGTAACTGTGACATCATCAGAATATTCAGTAAATAACGCAATAAATAATGTTTTAGACTTGCGACAGTTTATTTCCCAGTTGTCAGGACATAGTGCTGAACGTGTGAAGAAAAAAATTGATACCGTTTTGCAGAACAATCCGGGATTTCTAACTGTATGTCGCATAGTAGATCTTTTTGAAGGTAAAGAAGTAGATTTTTCTGAATCCGCCCTAAATATGCCATCCGTTAAAAATTATATATGCTTTAAATATGCCCCAGTAACATCTGTGGACGTTGAACGTACGTTTTCGAAACTTAAATAGATTTTTAGCGATAAACGCCACAACCTAACGCCTAAACATTTACAGCAGTTGCTGGTTATTCAGTTTTACTTCAGCACTACAAGTGAATAGGTGTAGAGCTCAGTGTAGAGTGTTTTGTAAACTAATAAACTTAATATGAATCATAGTGGATATTATAAATCGTCAGTACAAGGTAAAATTTTTACTTTTTATATGGTGATTGCACCTCAGTTTCTACAGCGTCCTGAATCCGCTCCTGATAATGACGTCATGTGCGAATGAAGTGCGGTCTCTAGTTATCACTACTGACACTGACTCGTACGTATCGAAGTAATACGAAATGGAGCTATGGAGATTTGTGAGACAGATGCGATTGTGGTGGAGTGGGGACGCGAAGCAGCCAGCCGTCCGCCGGCCGTTCGAAAAATGACTTGTTTTGTATTTTTATTCATATCTTGTTTATTATTGAAGCAAAAATTCTGAGTTATACGCTGTTGTCTTTCAAATTGGTGACAGAAACTTTTTGCGAGAGTAAAATTTTTCAATTAAGGCCTCCGTTTTCCGGTAAATAGCGTGGGAACTAAAAAAATGTTGAATTTCAGTAAGATTTTCGACGTGTTCGAACTGAGATATTCAAGTTTAAAAATGTATTCTGCCATAAGACTCAACGTTAAGAGCAACTTTCAAAAATTGATAAAAAATATATGCTGTACAAAATATAAGTTGATTTTTATATAGAATTATAGCCAATATGCTGTATTATCCGCCCGTGGTGATAACTCGTTTTTTGGTTTTACTGCCCTTCTGCCCGCGTTATTTTTTTATTACCTTCGGATTCTGATTCAGTAAGATATAAGCTTCAATTTTAGCATAATTCAGCTTGTAACTCCGCGACACCCACAGAAATGTATTTTAAGCATATTTAACGCTGCCGGGCACTCTACTATTAAAGATGCGCGCGATCAGATTGCCTTCCACACTCCACTTCCCCGGATTTTGCATTCACTGGTACCCCGTCTATGGTCGTAACATTATTGAAGTCCAGTTTTATTTTCACAATGGAAGAAGACAACACAGCAATATTTGTAGATAGTGTCAAGAGATTTTCATGTTTATACCTGTATGAGCCTCAAAATGGGGGTTATAAAGATCATTTTCGAGTTCTCCCACTAAATTATTAAAATCGCCCTGTTCTCAGTATTTTATAAATAACGTAAGCGAGTGCTTCGTCCTCACTACTACTCTACATGATTGCATACTGAACATATTCGGAAGAAAAACTGTTTTAATGAGTGTAGGTACCTACAACTGCGGTTGAAATTAAACAGCTCGATATCAGTAGATTTACTTGTTCTAGGCATCAGCCTGCACCGAATCTGCCTAGCTGTACCAGTCTCACTGAAATGTGGCCTTTAAAACGAAAACTGTTATCTACAGGATTAAAACACCTTTCAAAAGGTGTAACTGTATGAGTATAATGAAGTTTAATTCCATGTCAAAAATGCCGAATTCAAATTTTTTTACACAAAAGATGATCGAAATTGACAAATTGTTGATATACATGTTAAATATTTTACTTAAGTCTATTCAGAAAATTGTAAAAAGAATAAACGTCTAATAGCTGTCAATATCTGTTGAAGAATATTTGACATAAAATCTCATACTTACCCACTATCCGTAATATCGAACAAGTCAAGGGATGCTTGATAGGTAGTATAATCAAAACTAAGTTTTACGTTTATCCTTAAGTCTTCAATTTTTCCGTTTACATCTCCTTTAATGCTAAGTAGTAGCACTTTGGTGTGATATTTATAGGTCGCCTGAAAACGAAAGTATCTAAAACTACTAGAAATACAACAAAGTGTACAATTTAATGAATATTGAGAAACTTGCATAATTATTCATTTGGATATTATTGTAGAAAAGAAAAGAAAGTCTACTACTAGTAGTATCTACAATTAATCTAACTTTTTCCAGTCATATTTTTATCTTTGGAATACGGTAAATCCAGGTAGTAGTAATAAGGATTATTATAGGTTAGCGTTTTGGGTTATTTTATGTCGGTCTATTTCTGATATTATGGCTAAACATCGACGCCAGGAGACGAACAACCCCCAACCTGGAAATTTGTCGAACCCCCACTTTGTCGTGAGGGTAGGGATCTTCTACTTGCCTAACATTGTTTAAACAAGGAACCGACGGTGCCGACGGTTTTATATTCTATTCAAGGGATGGTATGTATCATATACAAACCTCGCCTAAATATGAAAAGCTACTTTGAAGATACCCTTTTACAGGCCACTAGAAAGTGGACGAACACCGTGAACCTTCCTCGGACGGTTAGTTCAAATCGAAAGGTTAGTAGCGGTAATTGCATGATAAATTGCCAACTGCAAAATAATTCTGCAATAATTATTGCCGTAATATAAATCGCAGCAAGCTTTCTTGACGGCATTTATAATTGCGAGGTTGCAAGCGGTTTTTTACAAAATATATCGACTTTTAAGGAGCTATACACAGTTAGAATTTTCAAAAATTCGATTTTTGCATTTCCAGAATGTACATATATCTGACTATATTCCCTGAAAATTTCAAATTGATCCGGTAAGTACTTTCCGAGATATACGCATATTTGTAAGGACGTCTCGGACTGTTAGAAGGTAGGCGGAGTAAAAACCAGAGTAGAAGCTGCTCTTTTCTTTCTTTGTGTTCCTAAGTGTTAAAAGGGTTATACCTTATGAATGGTTCATTTTATACCGGTAAATTAAATCGAGTCTTCTTGTAAGAAGTAAGTGAACATCATTTCAAACAAACAGTTCTGCCATGTTGTACAGTCGTGTGTTCATTTTTAACTTTCTGTTCTCAATTTTGCGTTTTTAATTCAATTAAATTGACTTAATCTTAATTAGAATGCCACTTAGGTGTAGTAGAAAAAAAAAGAGCAACTGAAAAAGTGCACTTATCACGATTTAAAAAAAGGAAAAATGTATTTAATTCAAAAACATCTGAGACAGATGTAAGTAGTTTTAGTGCGCCCGCAAAAAATTCACACTACAGAAGGATATTAGTTTCCCGTAATTATTCTATTGAATATAGAATTTTGAACTTAGCAGTGTTTACAGCAATAAGTGATTTTGTAAAGTATAAAACTTGTAACGAAAAATAAAATTTGAAACAACTTCACAACGGTCTTGGTTTTAAAATCGTTTTGCTGCGTGATAAGTGTGAGGCTCGTGCCATAAACTCCAGTTCTTTTATCAAGCATTCTTATGAGATAAACAGACGATTTATATTTGTGATGAGATTTCTTGGAATAGGATTGAAAAGTGCAGCTAAATTCTGAGGATTTATGGACATGCCATGTCATGTCGTGAAAGAGGATGCAGAGCGCGCCACGAGCGCGAGGGAAGAATGGCTCGTAGACAACATCAATTCGAAGTATTAGAAGCTGCTGATGCTACAGTGGGTCCATCTTATGACCCTGGAATAGCTGACTCCATGTAAGTAAAAGAAATCTATGTGTAACCTTCTTCCGAAACTTTAAACGAGTTTTTCTCAAAACTATGTTTTTTTTAACCTTCTCAAATATATTCCTCAGGTATTAATCGAAGGAATAAGATTTCGGATAATTATTTCTATTTGTTTAAACAATTTTACGTGGCAATTTTGCTCGAAAATTCGAATTTTTTTACGAAACCGCCATTTTGCCAAAAATCAAAATTTCGATATTCCTTCGACCAATACCTACTTTTATCTATTCACTAAAAGAATATTTGCGGTTTTTTGATTTCAGATGAAGTAAACCGGAGAAATCGCATTCACCGCCGAACACCTTTTTTTGGAGGACCTTCAGGAGATCGTCTGCAGGAGCACACCAGATCAATATTTTTACAAATCATTAGTGTCAAATACAAGTCAAATCAAATATATTTTCAGAAAAAAATCACAAAAAACGTCTTTTTTGGCCTTTCAACTGCGTATAATCCCTTAATAAGGCTTGCATCTTTTTGTCTAAAAAGAATTTAGATAAAAGTATTTAGTAAATTATCTCAAAACACATTATCTCTGTTTAAATTCGGCAACCTAAACTTTTTTTTGGTCGGTTTGCTACTGTTGCAAATTAATCTTATATTTAACTGTGTATCTCAATTAATAACTGATATAATGACGTGAATAAAAAAAATATTTTTTTAAGAACTATTGGACTACAGATAGATTCAAGTAAATATGTGGCTCTTTCCACGGAATATTTCAAATTTCGTAGAAAAAACTTCTCTCTTACAACCTATATACTTACATATTCTCAAAACTTAAATGTCTAAAAAAATATTTGAATTAGATTCTTTACTGAAAAATAAACCTAGAATTAAAAAAAATATAATCAAAATGAAATTTGCCATCCGCGAGAACATGACCTTTCTAGTTAAAGTTCGTTTTTAGTCGTGCATTACTTTTGATGCGAAGTGTAGTGCGAATAATAACGAAAACGTCAGTTGTTTAACATGTGGGTCTAGTCAAACAAAAGATGTAAACTTTCCATTAAAAAATAAAAATAATTGTTTGGTCAATATTGATTTTAGTTTGAGGCAAAATTGGACATAGATGAAACACATCAAAAGTAAAATTATTCTTACCAATAAAGCATTCAATTTAATTGGTAAATAAACACTCATTATCTTTGTAGAGGAATCGTACCCAACCGTAGTACTACCATCTCTTGCTATAGTTGACATATCTTGCAACCATCCGGACGTCAAGTCTATCGTTCCTGTTGGTATTAACTGAAACAAGTTATATTTGAATAATGCATTTAGTTTATAATACCATTATAAAAATTTCCGAGACACATCAATATTTGAATGTATTTACCTATCTTTTTCAAACAACGTACGAAATGTAGCCCTTCAAGGAGGGCGGAAACCACCCCTAACTTTTTTTTTCAAATGCAACAATATGGCATGTCATCCCTCTTTGGAAAGACGACAGAAAGACAAATCCAGACTAGTGATCACGTTTATTATTTTTCAAGACATTGAGGGTTGTATAACATTAAAATGCAATTATTGTTAAGTTTATTAATTTTCAACGTAACAATTGTCCAAATTGTGCACCATTTACTTGTTGGCAACATCTCTGTGATAGGTTTCATCCCCTACATTACATAACAATTCCTGTTGTTATTGCCCTAGTTTCATCTCTTATTCATTCTTTCAGCTCATCAATGTTATTTGGTTTTTGAATGTAAACCTTACTTTTGAGATGTCCCCACAAAAAAAATCATGAAAATATTTTGCCACAATTGATATTGTTACTTTTTGTAATGTTTTTACACAGCCACACTGGAAGTCAGAGAAACAAATTGTTGTTGCAAACTTGTGAAAATGCCTTATTTAAGTGAATCGCTAAAAATTGAAATTTTGATGATTGAATATAGTGATAGGGTGCGAACTCAATGCGAGGTTGTTCATCTGTTCCGAGAAACTACATCTAAACTTGCCACCAATAAATCAAGGTGCCATTAGTAAAATAAAGCCACGAAGCCAAAGTGGTCGATAGCCGCACGGTTTAAGGCGTCAGTATTTAAATTGATGTGTACTATCTGCCCGGGTTTCGAATCCCGCGGCCAGTAGACCGTAGATTAGCTATGCTTGTACAGAGGATTGGCACCCTCTGTGCAGGTATGGTAGGGTGGAAGAATGTTGGCTTGGGTCAATGTGAGAGATTGATACCAGTTGGCATTTGACAACCCCCCTAATTAATGAGGTTTTCCAGGTTTCCCTCATTCCTGCACTGAATGGTGGTTAGGGCCTATCAACATAAGTCGTTCCTGGGCGCAAATGTGGCCTGCTTAATAATAATATCCTCCTCTCCCGCACAAGTCTCCGACTTCTGGGCTAACTCTCGTAGTTAAAATGAGGAGTAGAGATATTATTATATCGAGAGATAGACCATGTCAGGAATATACTGAGACAGGGGCAGGCTGTTGTTGAAGACGACACGATGTTGAATTTGTTACTAGCTGTGGATAAAAATCCAGTCACTTCAGCCTATCAACTAGCCCGTGATAGTGATCTTAATCACAATATAGTTTTAAAAATACTTAAACACGAGAAAAAACGCCCATATAAAATGCAAGCTGTTGACGAGTTAGTTGAAAATGGTGATCGACGAGTTGAATTTACTGATGAATGATGTCGATCAACACCGTTTATCTTTAGAGTGGATACTTTTCTCGAACGACGCTAGTTTTACATTAAATGGGAACGTAAATCGTTATTGGATTAAAGAGAACCCCCCATTGGATGAGGGATCATACACAACACCCACAGAAAACTAATGTGTGGGTCGGTATAATACAAGATAGAGCTGTAGGACCATTTTTCTTTGATGACAATCTTAATGGAGCAAGATACCTTCATTTTCTCCAGGACGAACTAATGTCAACTCTATGTCAGTTATTCCCAAATCTCTTTGACCGTAACTTGACCGACGAAAGATATGGCACATTACGCTGTTATTGTTCGCCAATATCTGGATAGAATTTTCCCCGGTAGGTGGGTAGGACGACGAGTTACCATCGAGTAACCAGTGCGGTCTCCAGATCTTATACCGCTGGATATTTTTTGTGGGAACATATCAAAAGTAAGAAACTAAATAACATAGATGAGCTGAAGGAAAGAATAATAGATGAAACCAGAGAACCAATAACACCGGAATTGTTACGTAATGTAAGGGACGAAATCTATCACATATTAGGATGTTACTAACAAGTAAATGGTGTACATTTTGAGCAATTATTACGTTTAAAAGTAATAAACTTAACAATTACGTTTTAATGTTATGTAACCCTCACCCTCTTGGAATATAGTAAATTTGATCAATACGCTGGATTCGTCTTCCTATTACCTTTCCAATGAGGGGTCAAACGCCATATTGTTGCATTTGAAAAAAAAGTTGGGGGGTGATTTCCGCCCTCCTTGAAGGGCTACATTTCGCATATTGCTTGAAAAAGGTAGGTAAATTCATTCAAACGTCGACGTGTTTCGAGAATTTTTCAAAAAATTATTCAGCTCACTGGTAGCGAATTTATTCCAGCTAAAGTCTACACCTTGTATATGTTAATATACAATTACGTATACATATAGAGGCTGTAACACCAAATTTGACATGAGAAATTTTGGGGTGACATTTCTCTTGTCATAATAGTTTGTAGTAACATGTAACTTAAATAAATAGCAATAGTTTTTTTTTATGAAAACTATTTTCGAATATATTTTTTTAAAGGCAAATTGACAAGGGTTATAGTTTTTATATAACACTGACGGAATATCTTAAAAAAGTTTATATAGGGTTGAAAAAATCCATAGACATAGGAAGTATTTTCAAAAAGAGGCATGACGTAGCTCTTCGTTCTCTATTGGTACGTATACTGAAATTATGTTTTACACCTTACATTCTTGCGATATTTAAAATGAATACTTTTATGTTCTTTTTATTAAAGTCACATAGTGCGCTCCTTTTGGTGCTCTGACGGAAAATAAAAAAGAATAAAAACTATGTTGCAAAGATAGCACATGTGAAAAGATATCACAAAATTTTATTAAAAAAATTATGTATTACCCACCTTTGAAATATTTTAGAAAAAAAAAAGAATTTGTTGTAATAAATTAATACCTCTAAAATATAATAAAAAATATGAGAGCTAATAACAGAACTTAACAACTTACATTTAATGTAGCGTCATCGAGTTTTGCTGGATCGAGACCAGATCTTAGGATAGCACTCCTGATGTATACCAATACTTTATCCACATAATCGTCTACTACAGCGGTAATACCATTTGCTCTAAAAATGAAAAGTATTAGGTACATTGTTTACAAGAGTGTTTAACTGCTAATATACCTGAAATCGTTATTTTCAACTTTCGAATTTAATTTCTCCACCAAGTCCTTTGGCAAGACAAATTTAGTACCTTCAAATTGTTTTAGTGCACTGATTATAACTTCTTGGTCTACTTGTACAACTTCTTGATTAGCTAAAGCCAAGGCAAATAGCAGTGACAAGAAAAGCAGCAACATCATTTTCATTTTATTTCTGTGAGCAAAAGAATAACTGACACATACGATTTGGATAAATTAGTGTTCTTCTGTGTTTCAATTTTTTTGTAATCATCTATCAAAATGTAAATCAAACAATCTACATCTTGATAAATGTATACAATTTAAATCGAGATAAGGCTGTGTGTAATAAAAGGCGGAATTCTTTGATCTACGAGAATACTATAGATAAACATAAACAAAGTACTTCTAGCATTGTCCCAGTTATTAAATATGTGGCTGTCAGAGTTGAAATTATTTCGATTCTTTTCGATTTCTATTGTTTCTCTAAAGAGCCTTAGCCAAAACTTTATCTTTCCCACTACAATTTTTACATTATTTAGGTCTATTACATATTCTAGTTTCTTTCATTTGTTATTTTTCTTTTTAATAATTGTATCTTTAATATTGTACTTGTACTATAGCAGCGCGCCTTTCTGTTTCTTCAATATGTTGTCGCACGGGATGCTGCATACACAGAACTTTTGGTATACAGGTACATCGCTCTTGCAGTTCGTCTTGGGAAAGGTAGGCCCTGATCTTGAGACGCTTTAGAGGTTTCTGGAAGATAATATTGTTTGCCTCGTTTTCCTTGTTTTTAGGGGTCTTAGTTACTAATGATTTACTGAATATTACTAGTACTACTTTCTTTTATGATGTAGTTTCTCGTTCAATTGTTCTGTCTCACAGATACCTATTCATGTGCGTTGCCTTTCTATAAATACATCTGGTTTCCTCTTGATAAGCATCGGAACGGAAAGGTACCATTTTCTCAAAATTGCATAGTGAAGCTGATATCCATTACACAGAGTGGTATTTTTCAAAAATCCAAAATGGCAGACCCAATATGGCGGCCGGAAGCTGGGGAAAACCTGACTGTACGGCAAAAAAGGGTTGTGAAAAAAAATTCGCAACCAATCGGGTCATTTTTTAGCTCAAATTGTAGCTGAGGGACACCTCTTAACAGTTTGGTGTGGTTGGATGAAAAAATCAAAAATGGCGGATCCAACATGGCGGTCAAACAACCGATTTAGTAACTGAATTTTAAAAAATTAACCGATTTACACCACACTTGGTATACGGGTGTTTTTGAGGACGCTGATTACGAATCCGAGGTCAGATTTACAAAATTCAAGATGGCGGATCCATGATAGCGGACGAAATTTCGGAAAATCAACCGATTTCCACCAAATCTGGTATATGGGGGGCATTCGGATCTCGTTAAAAAATGACAAATCCAGTATGGCAGATAAAATCTTTCACCATATTGGATCCGCCATCTTAAATTTTGCAAATCCAACCTAAGATACACGATCAGCGATCACAAAAATCCCCATATACCAAATTTGGTGGTAATTCTCCGATTTTCCGAAATTTCGTCCGTCATCATGGATCCGCCATCTTGAATTTTGCAAATCTGACCTCGGATTCGTAATCAGCGACCTCAAAAACTCCCGTATACCAAGTTTGATGTAAATCGGTTGATTTTCAACAGCCATGTTGGATCCGCCATTTTGGATTTTTTCATCCAACCACACCTGCTTTTAAGAGGTGTCCCTCAGCTACAATTTGAGCTAAAAAATGACCCGATTGGTTGCGAATTTTTTTTCACAACCCTTTTTTGCCGTACACTCAGGTTTTCTCCAGCTTCCGGCCGCCATATTGGGTCTGCCATTTGGGTTATTGAAAAGTACCACTCTGCGTTTGAAAGCCTATTTATTAGACGAACATTTTGAGCCCTTATACGTCTCGATCGTTCCACACAATTTTTGTCCAGGTCGGTGATCCGCTTGACGTGTAATATTCCCACATACTTATTCTGTTTAGCCCAAGATGACAGTTGTATTTCATCTGTGACCGGGAGTATAGTGATTTCTTCATTTTCCCGCAATGACTTGATCGCTTCGGTGCGGTGGTTTAACAGTTCATAATACGAGCGTTGCCTTAACCTTTACTTTTTCCTTCGCTTCTTGATGCAGACGTCGGCATATGGCTTCCCTGACGCCGATTATACCTTCTTTTGGAATTGTGCTATTCACTACGGCAGAATTTAGGCAATATTTGTAGCATTATCATCTAGTTGAATAGATTCTACGTTAATGACGACTCGAGACTAGTCTGTTTCGTCGATTTGAGATGTTTTTCGAGAAACAATTATCAAATTTTATGCAATGTTGGTTTGTGGTTTCTGTTTTCTCGACGGTTAGTCTTTCTACTAGATCCCAGGTGTCTCTCTCTAATTTGCTGAAAGCTGGCAATGTACTCGTAAAATATTCTTATCATTTTCCTCTAATTGTTTCTCGGTGTTTCTGATTCTCCCTCTTAGAAGTGAGGTGCTGACTTGATGTTTATTTTGCTCTATTCTGTTCAAAAGTATTTAAAAAAATGCAGATTTATTTGTTTAAGTAGTTGTACAGCAGCATTGCGGCAAACTTTCTGATTAATCTCATAAAAAGAAAGAAAAGACAACGGCATTGAAATTAGGAATGTTTCGAAAAGTTTCAACTGCCAAAAGAAAAGTTATTTCTTATCACCAATAATCTTATTTTGTTTTACATATCTAGACGCACTGTTGACTTTTTTAAGGTTCCCTTTCTAATAGTTTATAGTTAATAGTAGTGATGGGATTATTCGAATGAAGAATAATCGATCATCCGATTATTGAAATAATCGAAACCTTCCGATTATTAAAAAAGAATTCGGATGATAATCGGTCACTACTCGAATCTCATAATCAGTACGTAATCGTCGATTTGAGAAGCCGACTATGAAGCTGATGGCAACCGCGGTCGAATAATAATCGGTCGAATCGGGTAGTCTCGCGTCGATTCTTTCACGTCCTAGCGGCTAGCGTGTACGGAGGGTAGGCGAGTACAGTGGACTGTCGCACGCCTTGAGTTATTTCACTTCTATTCACGTGAAATTTAAATTCTTTGGAGGAATAGATGGAGAAATCACTAATAATAAAAATAAATTATTGGGGTGAAAATATTGAATACGTAACTATTTTAAAAGACACAAAATAAATATGTCATACAAATATAAACATAAAAATACAAAATATTTAACAGAAATAAAATAAAATACCTAGTCAAAAATAACCTAATTTCACAATAGACAAGAATGTTTAAAAAATAATTTTACAACGATCAAATTCGTGACCCCTACATTTGCGAATGTAAAAATATTATAGTAAATAGAATCGACACGCGATGTAAGGAATCTTCCCTACATATGAGCGGCCGCGGATATGTCCAACAAGCCTCATCTCAGTTCCACATACCGTTTTAAGTTCCTGATACCGTTCTACAAACATTTGAGCGATTACTCGGATGATCATTCGATTATTTAAATAATCGAATAACGACTTTCCGATTATTCAAATCATCCGATTATGCGCATCACTAGTTAATAGTTCGAAGACCGAGACTAATTTGGGAGCATTATTAGCAGCACAATTCAGTTGAAAATCAGATTAATTAAAGTTTTGCACAAATCCTCGCTAATTTCGACGAATAAATAACCAAACTAAAGATTCAACTTCTCCATAAATATGTAATTGTTGAGAACTTGTTATTGAGGGCTGTGAGATTAATATAATTGGCTTTTAATTATAGTCTACTGTTGACGAGTTCTTAACATTGTTATAATTTTTATTTTTAGTGCCAAAAATACATTGTATAGTTAAAAGAAAATAGTGTTCGAATCCGTAAAACTTCTAATTTCAAAGCCACAGGTTTATTACCTTACTATGGGAGGACAACAATGTACCTGCCATTTTGAAATCTATACGGTCCTTTCATAAAATACGTTTCACGTACACTCTTTGAACATAGTGTCCTTATAAATTGTTTTACCTACATCCTTGCTTGTTTTGACGAAAATAATGTGTCGTTAATGTTTTTCACTTAAACAGTAAATTATCATTTTTTTTGTTTCTAACAGAAACTATTACTGTTAGTATTGATTCCCATGACGATCATTAAGCAAATAAGTCAATAGAATATATCCGTGACAGTCTTTTCTATCAAGTTCACATGTAAAATTTTTTAAGTGACAGGTTGTAGCGTCAGAATTTTCGTTTAATTCCAAATATATTAAAAATGGAAGGCATGCCAGACGATTTTCTTAAAGATTTAAAAAAGCAGTTCCAAATGATAAAAGAAAATTCCAATGATAAGGAAGTCAGGGAAAAGGCTTTGCAAAATTCAGGTAATCGTAACACCTACAAAAGACGAAATTGTTCTATAAAATAAATTTTCTCTTGCAGCTTCTAAGATTGATGAAGTATTGTCTAAAATAAAGACTGAGTCCCCTGACTATTTGAGAGTATTATCAATGAAAGCATCAATATTATACGAGAATGCCAAAATTTCTCTTACCATTAACCAGTTCCAAAAAGCTAAGGAGTATCTAGAGAACAGCTTGAATTTAATTAAGGATCATGCAGAGAATGACCAAATCGCATTCCTGTATTTAAGAGTTGTAAATTATTTAGCTTACATTTTGTCCAGACTTGGCAAGCTTGAAATAGCGCAGTCATTGCTGGAGAAAGTCATAGATAAAGGAATAACATCTAACCCTAAGGTTTACAGTACCGAAGACCTATTTTCAGACACAAAGACTGATGAGAATATAGGCAAACTTAAGATAGACAAGTTAATGATAAATAATATGCAGATGTTAGGTTGGGTGTACGGTAAAGTTGGTCTGAAGGAACTATATGCCGAAATGCAGCACAAATGTTTGCAGAAAGAGCTAGATCTTAACGATGGTGACCCAGTGCAATGGGCTATGAAATGTTATAGATTGGCCTCTTTATTATTGACAGAATGCAAGTGGGTGTTAGCTCGATATCACTTGGCAGCTGCTCAGGCTGTTTTAGATCCCCTAGAAGTGGGTTTCACACCTAATCCCTTAATTTATAGAGCTCAAGCGGAGTTAGCACGAGTTTGGGTATTACTTTTTATATTTTGCTTCTTATAACTAGTTTTTATCATCCATATATTAAAAGTTATTCTTTTACTGAAACAATTTGTTAAATATGCATACTCGTTTGATAATTTACTTACTTCTATGGCAAGATGCTTCAGAATTTAGTTTTTAATATTATAACAGAGGTAATCAAAAAAAGTATACTTACTTACATTTTTTATACGGGTGATTTTTTCCGTTTTTTCAAGTTTTTAGGTTCCAATATTTTTTAAGTTTATAATAATTTTTACTTAATCGTTTTTTTTATAAGACACGTAATTAATATTCTATAGAAAGCACCAAATAAATGAACAAGTAAGGAAATTGAGAAAATTCAACAGTTATTTATGTGTCCTACTTTCGAATACGCACGTTAGTTATTTATGATATACAGAGTGTTAAAAGTGAAAATTTATTTTGTGAGTGGGGAATATTGCGGAGCGATCGTAGCGAGTGGAGTAACCCCATGAACAAAATAAAATCACTTTTAACAAATGTATATATTTTTTGTAAAACTGTTATTTAAAAAAAGGCTGTCTTTGGGTTTGAACTCCTGATCCATTGCTTACGTGTCGGACGTGTTGGCACTGATTGTGAGTCACTCGTTCGTTTCAATTATATGTGACAATAAAGTGTATATATCAAGTCAGGTACTGGATAAAGGGTAACTAAGTAAAACAGTTGTAAGTTGTTTAGTGTTTATTAGTAACTCGAATTGACGCTGTCCGTAATTATGGTAAATTTTGTGACTAAAAAAAAAAGGATTTTGAAGAAAATACGGGAAATGAAAGTAATTTTATTATTCCATCAGATGAAGAAGACGCAAATAGGGCAACTTTAGATCTCTTGCTCCAGAAATCGCAGCAACAATATGATATAGCATATAAAGGCCTTATTGAATGGTGTAAAATTAAGAAAGTAGCAGACAAGTTCACTGAAAATATACTTTTGGCTTACTTCGAAGAAAAATGTAAGTTATGAAGGTATCAACACTGTGGTCTAATCTCTATGATGAAAGCTAGTTTGAATGAAGCTCAAGACACCAAATATCTAATGATAAAAGTTGCATCAACTTTTGGTTTAATTGGAGCCGTAGAGAAGAGCTTTGTAAATTAACATTGGATAATATTGAAAAATCAGAAAACTCCTTATTGATTCATATTTTGGAGACTAAAACCAACGTCGTAGTTTTTGTATCGTTGGAAGCTACATGAATTATTACCATAAATATGCTGCATTAAGGCCAGCCGCCCGCCGTTACCCACTAACGACAAATGTACTGTTCAACCCGTTGGGATAAATACTAATATTTTACATTTTTACATTTTTATTGATTCGTGTTATTACACAAAGTGTTTACACACGTCAGAAAAGAAACATTGATATTTTCAAAATTACAACACAGTTAAAAATACAGATACATACATAATCCTAAAATTAATAAAAATATAAATACAGATTAAAATTGACATTGATTGTAAACAGAATAAATAAAATCAGGTAAANAAGTTAAATATGTAGTTCCAACAATGTTTTAGACACCATAATTCATTAATAACTATTAAATTAAGAATTAATTAATTAATTTATTTATTTAACTTTGATGACTTTAAATTAAGATAATTCGATATAGAGGCATGTTTAACTAAAAATCTTATCTTGACATATGAGAATCAATATAAGTACGTGAAACTTTCAATTATCTCGAGAAATAAGCATCCTACGAAAAAAAATGTTAATAATTAAAATTTATTAATTCCGCGGAGAAATTACAACAGGGCTAAAAATTAGTCACATTCCTCCACCCCTTGTAGATGAGGAGGGGGGCAACTTTGAAATCTTAGATAGGGACCCCCATTTTTTATTGCAAATTCGAATTCTATGGCCAAAAGTACGTAGGATTTGTCTGAAGCATTTCCTCGAAGTACTGAGAAATATTTAATTTTTATTTAATTTACATCTTTTTTATTTTTACCGTCGTTTTAATAATTATTTACCATTACAACAGTATTTTTCGTGTAATACCTTAATTTAACTTTTTAACTTTAAACTTAGTTCGAACAATTAATTTTCTTTTTAAGATAACTTGATGTAAATATTTAATTCCTATTATGTTTTTTCTTTTTCAGGTAAACTATGGCTTACATTTATTTAGTATTAGTAAAAAAGCTTGCTTAGAAAGAAGATTGAATGATGAGAGCGACATAATAGATTTAGAAAAATCTCCTCAAACAAAAGAGGATGTAGGAAACTCAACATTTAACGATTTAGAAGTTTCTGTCCCTAACGTTCCGGTAACTGAAATCCTTAACATTCAAGAAGCGAAATCCTTATTTACAAATACTCACAAATGGATAAAAAGAGCTCGTCTTTACTATACCCTGCGAGACTATCCTATACAGTACGTGAATATTGTGTTGGAGTTGAGTGAGCTTTACAGGTTGCTAGCTTTTTACGAAGTTGATGTCGATTCTGCATACAACCTTCAGAAAAAGAGGTATGACACTTTGGAAACACTTAGCGGTATTTTGAAAGAAGTCCGACCCAACTGTTATGCCGCTGTTAGTGTGGAGTTGATCCGAGAGATAATAGACGTGCAAATAGAGTTGATGAATTTAAATCTAAAGAAGTTATACAATCCCGACAGGGAGACGAATTTAAATGAAAGTGATATAAAGCGTCGCGTTGATACTTTGAATGACATTCATGCGAAGATGGAAAATCTTGGAGAAGATACTCAATTTACCTCTGAAGCTGGTGACATTGATATTACTTCGGATCAAATCATGGATAAAGATGAGGCAGATGTTAAATTAAATGAATCTATAAATGAAAATAAAGGTGAAGGAGAAATAAAAATCGAAGAATTGAGCGCCTAATTTGAAAATGTATTGCAACTATTTTACAAATGTGTTAAATAAATTTTGTACTAATGTATGTTCTTTTTCATTATTTAAATTAAGTTTAATCTGTAGAGCTAAACGACATAATGGATACAATATCTAGTAAACAGTTTATCACACAAGAGTAACTAAATAAGAGGCTTTTATTGGATAGGGCGGACCGAACATGCATTCACTGAGGACATCTCGCGTTGTTGTGGCAAAACATTGTCGTTTATAGAAATTGTTAAACAGAAATCTGCAACTATAGATCGATTCTGTATTTCCAATCTTTCAATCAACAGAAATAGAATGTTTAAGGTTATAGTTTATATTCAGGTAGGTTGTCACGTTTTGTGCATTAATAAATTTGTCTTGTTTTAGATTATTTTAATAACGGAATCTGATCTGCCTTACTGTATTTTTATTCGTTTTTTTTTAACCAAAATGAGTTTACCTGCTAGAATTAAACGTCAATGTTGTGCTCTAAATTGCAAAAGCACTGTCTATATGAATGAGTGTAAATTGTGTAATGCGTCCTGGAGAAATAAAAGTTTTTTCAGAATTTCAAAAGACAGACAATTACTGTGGATAGAATCTGTTCGAAAATTATGTGAATCAGACTTTACTTTGACAAACACATATCATTATTTTTGTGAAGACCATTTTGAGTTAAAATGTTGTAAAAAACAATAATAAGAATAGTCTCAACAAGAAGTGCTGTGCCGACATTATTTTTAGGATCGACTACAAGTTCACCTTATCAATTGTAATAATATCACCTCAGAATCCTCGGATAGTATAGAATATTCAACAAAACAATTTGTTAACGTAACATTACAGAATTTTCAGAGTACGAGTTGCCAAACTTCAATTTCGGACGATTTTTCACCTCCACCTTTTAAAAAACCGAAATACATGTATTCAGAATTGTCATTTCCTATGTATAAGGGCTACTGCGAGCACCAGTGCCATTACTGAGATTAATGATAGCAAGTTGAATGAAGCAGAATCAAATAATGGTCATGTAAGTACCTCACTTTTGATAGCTCATTTTGCCAAAGCCTTACAACTTTTCAGTCAAATAATAAACAAAGAACATTTTTAAAAACTTTGAATGTTAAGAGAATATCTCAACTTTCAGATAAACATAAAAAAAATTATTATCTAGATCGTCAACAGAAAATTCAGATTTTGAAATTAAAAAGGAAACTATTAAAATGTATTTACAAAATTAAGTCAACATCTTGATCAAGTAGGAGTAAAATTTATTGTATTACAAATTAAAAATTGAGAAAAGAAATGACCTATCTATAATTCATAAAATAAAGCACTTGCTTTAGCAATTTACAAACGTGGCCCAGAGTGCTACAGGTTTTTACAGAATTTTTTTATGCTGCTCTCTAAATCTTTCATAAGAAAATATTTAGGCCAAATACCTTTATATGTTGGAATAAATGAAAAGTTGTTACGTAAATTATTATCAGAACGTGTTAGTAAAATGATTACAAGAGATAAAGTTTGTTGTTTAGTATGTTATGAAATAGCTCTGTTCTGTTGGTCTAAATTATGGCACTTGTAAAGATCAAGTAACGGGATATGTCAATCTTGGGTCCCTGGGCAGACAAAATGAGGTAGCAAGTCATGCTCTAGTGCTTTTGGTGCAAGGTATTAAAAAACATTGGAAGCAGCCTATCGCGTATTATTCCACAAAAGACGTTATAAAAACAAAGGACCTAAAAATTTTGTTAATTGAAATAATTTCAACATTGCAGTCTTGTGGATTAAAAATAATTTATACAGTTTGTGATCAAGGTTCGACTAACAGATCAGCTATCAGACAGTTAGTTTCCGAGTCATCAGATAAATCTACTTTTAATGTTAATGGCGAGGAAATTATTCCCACTTTTGACGTTCCTAATTTGCTTAAAAATACAAGAAATGCTTTATATAACAATAATATTAATTTTTCACAGAATAAAACAGCAAAATTCAGCCACATAGTAGTGTTATGAAATTGATAAATCTAGACGCTCCCAAGGTTTACGAAAGATACATGACCATTATTTCGAATTCGAAATAATTTTTGGCAAGTAACTGTATTATTTTGCATAATAATTCTTTAATAAAATTCTTTGAAATTTGCAATTTTTAATGGTTTATTTAAAAAATTATAATAAGAGTCCATGTACATTTTTTTGATTTAAAGTGTTTCATAAGTAGTGGGTCATGAAACCGCTGTCATGGTTCACCTTAATTTTAATTATCAACAAACCATTAACAGCTGTTTTGTGATGTATTACTTATGAAATACTTTTTATTCATTAGTGTATTTTATTGTTTTAAATTTGCCGCCATTATGGTGCAGCGACATCTATTAGACGGTAGAATTAGAAGTTACTCTAATTGTGTTTTCCTGTGCAGTTTCCTTAATTATTTTTATGGTCTGTAGTTTCCGAGTGTGTCGTTTGCCACAGTAACAACAGATGGCGTACTCTGCCGCTGCTGCCAACAGAAGATACAGAATAAAACCCTCTTATTTAGTTACTCTTATGGTTTATCAGTCGAAACCACCGGTTTGTGGCTTCTTTTGGAAAAAAGAAAAGAAAGAGTATCACCCTATGAGCAGTGCCGCGGGACCGGGGGATGAAACCAAAGGTAATGTTGATATATACTGCCATAGTGAGACCAATGTTGGCCTACGAAGCTGTTGTCTGGTGGTCAAAAATCCAACAGATAGCACCTAAAAAGAAGTTCAGCCAGGAACAATGAATAGTTTGCCTGAGCATCACAGGAGCTATGCGAACAACGCCAACGTTAGCAATGGAGGTGATGCTATGTCTGCCATCCCTTAGATATTTATCTAAAGGAGGTGGCTCTGATAACAATGCTTCGCTTCAAGCATGTTGATGTTAAATGTAGGATGTGGAGAAGTCAGGTGTTGCCTATGGAATGAGGCCGTCGAGAAGATGCCTCTTCTGCAGGCAGACACTGACGTTGTTTGACATACTCTAGATAATACTTATTAAAAATTAGGAGGAGACCGGTAGTAAGAGTGCCGGATCAAAAAGGAAGGATGGTACAGGATCGCCCGAATTGCGCTAATTCGCTCAAGTGAGCCATAGACAACCGCACGAATAGCACATATTACTTTTTATTACGAATTCATTATCTGTATCTGGATCACTTTTTGGTACAATTGCAGGACTTCTCATCATGTTTTCACAGAATATAATTTATTTATTTTCATATTTTTATTCAGTTTAGGTTGACATAAATAACTGTCAACTGTCATTTAAATGTCACCTTTTAAAAATAATATTTTTGAGTGTTTTTTAAATTATTTATTCAATGAAAAATAAATAGATGGTTCTAGCATAGATTTGCGTAGTTTATTTAAATTTTGCCTGTTTTATTGTCAATTCGCGGGCGACAAGTGTGATTACCGCACATAAATAAATAGAATAGACAAACGGCTATTTACCGACCTAAAAAACAAGCGAAAAGATAGGACATGAGTAATAAAAAGTTGACTCAACTGAATTCAACTCAACTGAACTGAACTGATCTGAACTCGACTGAATTGAACTGCACTAATTAAAATTCAAAGCAATTAAGTTATTGGTTTGACCCGTCCACGGAGAATGATCCCATCACCGATTCAGGGGATAATCTAAGGAATTTTAAGTACTACCCAAAATCAAAGCGAAGGTTATACTTTATATAGATGAGAAGAATATAGAATAAACCTACGACTACGACGTGTATACTACAATCGCTTTTCCTGGGGTTTTTGAGTTTTGGGTTTCTTGTTTATATTGTTAAAAAGGCTATTTAAATTTCGCCTATACAGGGTGTCCCGAAATTCATGCAACAAAATTTGGTCACAGATTCTTAAGACAAATTTAGGGGATCTGTATTTTTTATTTTTGCCAAGTGGCCCCTTCTTTCGGAGTTACAGCCCCCTGATGTCCGCCCCTAAGAATAATATTTTTTTTATATCTCAGAACCCTGTTGTACGAGAATAACTAAATTTGGTACACAGGGGTTTTATGACGTGTGGAATCTGATGGTACTACGTTTTTTGGCGGGGTACCCCCTTAAGACAATTTTTCGTGGGCCCCCTTGTTTTTGGAGCTAAAAAAATTTGGTCGCATGTTTAAATTTCTTAAAAATTATCAGTCCACTAGAAACCCATTAAATTTATAAACTTTTTTGTCCCGTTATACTTTTTTCGTAAAACGCAATGTTTTCGAGAAAAATATCAAAATGTGATCGAATGCATATCTTGATTCGCCATTTTCCTCAAAAACATTGCGTTTTAGGAAACAAATATCAAGAGACAAAAAAGATTCTAAATTCAATGGCTTTCTAGCTAACTAATAATTAAAAAAAAAAATCAAATTTGCGCCAAAATTTTTCTGGTTCCAAAGACAAGGGTGCCCACGAAAAAGTATCTTAAGGGGGTTGCTCGCTAAAAAGCGTAGCACTGTGAGATTCCACAGGTCATAAAATCCCTGTGTACCAAATTTAGTGATTCTCGTACAACATGGTTTTGAGAACTAACAAAGACTTGTTAGGGGCAGATTTCAGGGGGCTGTAACGCCGAAAGAGGGGGCCAGTTGACAAAAAGAAAAAATACGGGTCCCCTAAATTTGTCTTAAGAATCTATGGCCAAATTTTGTCGCATGAATTTCGGGACACCCTGTATGATGTTAGAGCGACTCATATCCTTTCGAGTTTATTAAGTTTAAATGTTCATGTACTGTACTCAAAGTACAGTAATTGTTTTATTTCAATAAATGTATGTTATTTATTTATTTATTAACCATTTAGAGGACCGGCATTTAACAAGTATTTATGAAATGTCAATTTCATAGTACTTCAAGCAATCAAATTTTGCAACTGCCCTTTTTAACTTTTAGACCTAACTTTTTTTTAAGAACTGCCTTTTCGGTTAGAACTAATCCTTAGATTATGCCCAGCACTGATCTAAAATAAAGCATGGAGTCATAAAGTTCCTCAAATCTAGCTTCAAATGTACGTATACTATCTGTGTTATGTGAATTAGTCCATTTATGGAAACCTAAGATTTCGGTCACAACCTGCTTAAATGGGATCCATTCTTATTTACATCTTATGCACCCCAATTTTTGTTTTTGCTTACATGGACCCCTTTCAATTCCGAGTCGATATAGACCACTTTAAGAGCTATTTATCCTTTTTCATATGTGTCCAAGAAATTTTCCACGTAAGTTCTATCCAGCTCAAATTAAAAATTTTCAATATCAAAATCGAAACTTGTATTTGCCAGCGAGCAACAGCAGAATCTTCATATTTGTGTATGGAAATTGGATAGACTTGAATGACATCTACTGGCGTAGTTGTCATGTGTTAAGTTTATCAGTTTCTGAATGATAAAATTCCTTAAACATTTGTTAATGTTCTTTTTTTTCTGAAGTAATAGATAAAGTCTTTAAGTGTCGGAGAAAGGAATCTATTGACGTACTGTCTGTCTGAAATCCTCCCAAAAAATGAATTTGAAGATTTTTCCCGATAAGCATAATGGCGCTTTATCATTTCTTAAACACGTGTTTATTTACAGACTTTAAAAAATTCTCTGATATAAAGAGTGCCCCAAAAGTAACGGAAGATTTGAATTATGCTCCATTTTCATTCGGCAGAGTTTGCAGCATTGTGCAGGGTGACATACGTTTGCGGTTAGACAAAATGGAGCGCTATGCGGCGGATGAACGAGTAATGATTGTGAAAATCTGTTCGTTGATTGGATGTTGGAGAATCAACAACTGGACGTTGATTTTACTAAGAAAATCATTTTTAGCAACGAGGCATATTTCCTTCTTAGTGGATATGTGAACAAGCAAAACTGTCGGGTCTCGGGTAATTCAAGAACATGCGGTTGGAAATGCAGTGACTGTCAATGGAGACGATATCGAGAGATGCTATTGAACTTTTTGTGACCCTATTTGGATGGCATGGAATTAGATGACATGTGGTCGCAGCAGGATGGTGCCGCCTGCTATACGGCACGTGAAACTATCCATTTGTTACGGCAGAAATTTAATGGCCTACTCATCTTACGTAACAGGGAAGTGATATGGCCACCAAGATCATCCGATCTTACGCCATCCGACTTTTTCCTGTGGGGACTCGTAGAGTCCAAAGTTTATTTTGCCCAAATGAATACCATTCCTGAATTAAAGACAGGAATTCGGAGAGTTATCAACGAAATCCAGCCGCAGGTGGATGAAACTGTGGTACAAAATTTTCTTAAAAGAAATTGAGTATGCCAAATGAGTCACGGGGGACATGTGTCTGATAGCCTCTTTCATATTTAATGGCAATGTTTACCCGTCAAAAACATGTAAAAACTTTTTAATTAATAAAATGTTTTTTTCCTCATATGAAATCCTGCAATTCTTTTGGACCACCTTTTATTTCAATAATAATAATGATAATAGAACAATGTACAGATAACAGTATTGATAATAATCGATGTTATAATTGCAAAAAATGTTTTTATCTTATCATAGTGACCTCACATAAGAATAGTTTCCGAACTCACTCAATTGTTTGTGTTTGTGATAAGATTGACAAGTGACTCTTAAGGAAAAAAGCATGGCACCAAACTGATTACATTATTATTTATTTATATGTATTATATTGCAGTGTCTACAACAAAAGATATCAGCAAATATTTACTTTATATAAGCAAAATCATATAGAGAAAATTATAAAAAAAAGTAATAGGGAAAATAAGAATGAGATAAATACGATTATTTTGTATAGTGGAAGAGAATTCGGTAGACATAAGCAAAAAAATCCTTCTAGCGGTTTCCCAGATATCCATCGACGGAGTTCGTGGTGGGACACCCTGTATTCCATCAGCTTTCAAGTGTATGAGATCAGATCTATATACAGGGTGGTCCGAATTTTATTCAGGAAACTTCGAGGGCAGATAGATTTTTTTTTAAATAGTAGGTATTTGCCCTATAAACATAGGCCTCGTTTTAGAGATACAGGGTGTTGCAGTTGTTAAAAAAAATGATGTTATTGTTGTTTATATCTCTGAAATCTATTAACCGATCTCAATAAAATTTGGTACAGATAGTGTATGATAGTAGTCCTTGCATTTCCTAAAATAGGAGCTCTAAAGGTTCAACCAGTACAGTGGTGTACAACTGAACAGGGGTCACCCCTGGTTATTATGAAAAAACCTACGCCACTGCATTTTTTACAAGTTATTGTAACGAATTTATATTCTAATGCACAAAATACAAAAAGGTACCTTGAATTTTTTCCTTAAGATTGGTCGTTCTCAAGTTATTCATACCAATACAATCTCCTTGTGGCAGACACTTCTAATCATAATACTTACCTATTATTACAAGAATATTTATGTTTATACTTAACAAAAAAATGTTTATGCCAGATTGACATGTTTTCCTGAAAATCACGGGAAAACTTACCACTGTTGAATTTTCCTCGTAGTCACATGTTTATGCCAGATTGACATGTTTTCCTGAAAATCACGGGAAAACTTACCACTGTTGAATTTTCCTCGTAGTCAAATCTTGGGAGACTCGTCAAATTGAAGCTGCACACAAAGTTACAGCTTGCTGGTAATCATTTTTTTTTGTACGTGGGTCCGTGGACTACAATTTTTATATGTAACGTTTCGTCTTGCCAGGACCATCATTAACTTCATTTTTTTAATATGACCCTGGAAATTTTATTACATTTTTTGCAAGCTTTCATGACCTCCAATATTGTACTGCCTCAGCTCGAACCAGGTTCAGACATTTTGTCTCGAAAAATTAATGTTCAATGTATACGTCTAAATTTTTTAAAATTTTTTTATTTAGATTTGTAAGTTTATTGAATTATTAAGTGTCGTTAGACCCAGTGAAATCCACCTAGTTATTTAAACTATTACCATCACGCATTACAATAAAACATTATTAGAGTTTTAATCCCGTGCCCATAGTTATTTCTAGGTTTCTCGAATGCTCAAAATTCAATTTCACAGGGTCTAACGACACTTAGGGCGTACGATAATTCAATAAACATAGAAATCTAAATAAATAATTTAGATAAATTTGGAAGGAATACATTGAACATGAATTTTTCGAGACAAAACGTCTGAATCTGGTTCGTGATGAGACAGTACAGTATTGGGGGTCATGAAGGCTTGCAAAAAATGTAATAAAATTTATAGGGCTGTATTTAAAACAATTAAGTTGATAATGGTCCTGCAAAAACGAAATGTTACATATAAAAATTAATTATGCCTTTCGGTAGAGGGCAAAAAGTTGCCATGAGGAAGTGTTCTTCTTTTTTCAATATCACCTCAAACAAGGCTGAAATTAAACAAAAACGAATTTACAAAATTTCAGTTTTTTCAAATATTTCGAAAACTAATCATGTTAGCCTTGATTTGATTACGCAATTTTGCCCCCATTTAAGCTAGTTCGTATCTCTTACCATTTCCGAGATCCCTGTAGTGAGAAACGAATTTGGAATAGCCTGTCTGTTGATTGTGCTAGGTGTTCCAAACTTAAGGTTATTAAATTAAATCATAGCAATTTCAACAAGTCACATTTCTTCGTTTTCAGTAGTTCCTCGTGGCACGATGTTACCTACTCTAGGCTCTTCTTCTGCAGCTGAAATCATTTCCATTATATGAACTGTATTCTGAAGAATTTCAGTTCTTCTTCTATCTCTGAAGGTCAGTAAACTTCTGCAACACTGAGCTTTCGTTTGCATTTTACACAATAAAGAAACACAGTCCGTACGATATTTTTTGAGATAGAATTCCAAGAAAAGAAAAATCCAATAAAGTTCTGTTAACGGAACCACTGTAACAATTTACCGCAGCAGAGGCGTGCCTCGAAATTTTCCACCAATGTCATCGCGGCAGAGGAATTCTATCTCAACCTCTATAAATATCGCACGTACTGTACCTACTTCGTACAGGTTACCGCATGGAAGCAATTATTATTGATATCGATTTTGTCTGCGTTTTTTAAAATATTTGCATATATTTGTTGGTCAAATCTTGATAATCTGCTTGTTTATATTCTTTGTGCTCATAGCTCTACAGCTTGCTGTACTGCAGAATTTCTAAATAATCTAACGCTGTTATTTTATGAATAAAAAAAGTATACTTTTCAAATTTTATTACTAGGACAGTTATTTCCTACACTAAACAAATTATATACATAATAACATAAACATATACAATTGCCTAGATTGTCAAACACCCAACAAAAGTACGTGTATGATCTAAAATTTATAGTATCCGGCAGATGCAGGATTATCTGGATTTAAAAAGTCATCAATTGCGTCGTTGGCAACTTGAACAACCTTATCCCCTACATCAGTTACAGTTTTATGGATTATCTGTGCTATTAGTGGTTGGAGAACAGTAGTTGCAAACTCTGTTAAAATATTTACAACTACATCCACAACACCATTTCCATGGAAAGTTAGAGCGAGGTGCCTGAAAATATAAATAAATATATTGTTTTTTCCATGCACACTTTATGCTTCAGATATATTTTTATGACATATTTAGAAAAAAAAAGAGATTAGAACTGATGGCTGGCCACTATAACAAGAAAACGAAAAGAGCAAATTGAAAACAGCAAGCTTTATTCTTGTGGCATAATAAGTATTTAACGTTATAGAAAATTTTCAATTTAATATAACAAAAAATTGTGTTGATAAATTTAAATTTTTAGCACTTCTATTTTTTTACTTTAAAGTGGAGCAAAATACCCAAAAAAATATTTGCACGCGTGTTATTTCGTATATTACAAAATATCTGGTTATGACGTTCGGTCTATCATTTCTTTATACGTGTATGTTGTCAGCGCGATGTCCTGGAAAGTGTCCGTGGACAATAAATTGAAATATGTTTTTGGATATTTAATAGTTAATAATTAGAAATACACGAGTACATTGCAGTTGATGCAACCAATTTTCATCTATTCTATATCCAATTTGTCACATACCTTATGCAATCAATTAATATCTCATTACAGTATCTGTTATTGCAAATGTGACCGGTAAAGTAATGTTACAGATACGGGCATATCATACTGATATGAAGATTCTTATCGAAGCGACGAGATTTAGAACAAAAGCCATTGTCCTGTTTATTTAAATCTTTTCGATATTATTGTTTAAAGTACAATGAAAATTTGCGATCTTGTGGATAAATATTTAATGGCAAAATTGATATCTTTCACCTGGTGTAATCAAATTTTTGAAGTATCGTATGTAATTTGCTACACCCTCTACCCGGGCAAAAAAAATGTCATCAACGCATGAAAGAGCAAGAAACAAGCAATTTTTGGTAGCCGCAGCCTGCTTCGATGACAATTTTTTTTTGTCCGCGTAGAGGGCGCAGCAAATTACATACGATATTTTAAAAATATGTTTGCACTAGGTGAAAGTTATCAATTTTGCCATGAAATTTTATTAAAATAAGTTTTCTCTATCTCTTAAAATAAAAAAGTTAGACGGCCCTAAAATGTTTTACGATTTCTCATAAAGTTGGCCATGGATCTCAAATTTGTTTTTGCAAGCATAAAGGCCTCAAAAAATACAATATATAAAGATTTTTGACGTGCGTCGTATATTAAGCAAGATTCATAGGAGTGGCCCTCTTATAGTAGACAGCCTGTATACCATTAATTGTCACGCTCTAAAGTGATTAGAACATACATATTGCCAGTATCATAATTTAAGAAATATAGACGACTTCCCCAACTTTGAATCACGTATGGTGTCGTTTTAGGGGGGGTCCATGGGCCAACCGCCTCTCCTCCGTTCACGCTTTGTTATTTTAAACCAAAATTACATAAAAGTGCGCCGACTAAAGATCAAAATATGTGCTAAAGTTGAAATAAATTTCTCTATAATCACCGGAGTTATCAATAAAAACCATTTTTTAAATTTTAATTTTGACACCCTGTATTTTGAAAATGGGGCTCCGAATTGAAAAGTGACATAAGAACTGTCCCATTATTTTAGTCCAAAGAATATATGGTTAACCAGGTTGATCTACTAATTTGTAAGACCCTGTATACATATAAATGTTTTAATAAAAGCAAACGGTCGAAAATGTAACAAATATTATGCCATTATGCAAAACAAACTTTTTAATATTGTAAAATAAATTCAGAATATTTAGTTAATAATAATTTATATATTTAATAAAGATAATATTATTATGTACCTAGTAGTAGAAGTAGTTTTCAAATTATAGTATTTTTAGTAATTAATCATCGCGATTTACTTCTATAATAAAATTTGGTTCTTATCTGTAAAAAATGAACACATTTTTTTATTTCCAAAAAAAAATTGAATAAAAAAGATCCCACTCTAGAACCTCTCATATATTGGAAAATTGAAAGACGATTTTTTTCTAATTTTTTGAAGAAAAGTAAATAGATGTTCTTTTTCAAAAAGTACTTTTAAAAATAAAAAAAAACTCAAAAAACTAAAAATGTACTATTTTTAATTTTTGTCTATAAAACTACTCAAAACGAACAAAATTAAAATAAGAGGTTATGATATCTTCAGTTTTTGCAAAGTTACAGGTTTTACAGGTACAATTTGAAAATTTTTTACCCAAAATATTCAAATGTTCATAACTTCTTGAGGGGTTGAAATAAAAATTTGAAAAAATTCACGAAAGCTACTCTAAGTGTGTACTAAATAATACCAAAAAATCAGAAAAATTTAAAATGGTCGGCCTCAGCGATTTGGCATGGAATACCCCATATAGGTATATGATTTTTTTCTTGTATCTTGTATTAAAATCATTTGAGAATTTATTATTCACCTAAGAAATCAACATAAACTTACTTACCCTTTATTAGAAGTAGTTAATTCAGTGACTTTAACATGGTACGTATTAAAATCGAATTGAAGTTTGATGTTGATTCTAAAACCATGTATCGCGCCTTCTAGGCTTCCTTTAGGACCAATCAACAAAATGACTACGTGGTAGTCATATGCGAACTGTAATTAAAAATGTTAAATATTCCGTCAATAAAATATGTTCTAAGTAATGTATAGGGACGTTGAATAAGTTACCGCTGTTTTCCAATATATGGCGTGCGTTTAGTTTAAGATGGTAATACGCCTATAAGGAAGTACTACAGGGTTCCCCATATTAGACTATGCAGTTTAAAAGTCGAATAAAAACGTTCTGATCAAAGTAAATTTACTTTTTAATGGACTAATATGTAGCTAATTTTATGGGATTTATAACGAAAATAAATAATAAGTCAATTTTTAAAGATCATGTCTTCCAAATGCCCTCCTTCGACTAAAATGCAATTTTGAATTCTAAGTTCAAAATTTTGCATCACTCGACGCAGCAAATCTCCATTTATTTCTGCAATTTTATTTTGAATCTGCTCTTTCAACTCCAGAATTGTTGCTGGACGACTTGCATAAACTTTTTGCTTCAGGTATCCCCAGAGAAAAAAATCTGGGGCCGTTAAATCGGGAGATCTCGGGGGCCAATTCAAATTTCCAAATCGGGAAATTATACGGCCATCAAAAAAATCTCGCAAAATCCTCATAGTGTTTCTGGCTGTGTGAGCTGTAGCTCCATCTTGTTGGAATAATATGGCACCATTTAGTAGTCCCCGTCTAGTTAGTTCGGGGATAAGAAACGTTTGCAACATGTTTATGTAGCGCTCGGAATTAACTGTAACAGGACGGTTATTTTCATCCTCAAAAAAATAAGGACCGATAATTCCAAATGATGCTACACCACACCACACAACGACTTTTAGACTGTGGAGGTTTTTGGTAAACAGTTCGTGAGGATTTTCTGCTCCCCAGTACCTAAAGTTTTGCTTGTTAACAACACCGTCCAAATGAAAATTTGCTTCGTCGCTCATTAGCAAATTATGTATTCCTCCATGGTGCTGATTTAAAAATTCTTGACAAAATGTCAACCTCGCTTCTTTATCTGTATCACTGAGGTGATGCGCCATTTGGTATTTATAGGGGTGAAATTTTAAATCTTTATGCAGAATTCTGTGGAGACTTCCCTTGGATATTCCTAGGGCAAGTGATTGCCGATTAGCAGATCTCTTAGGGCTTCTTGTGAAGGCAGCTCTCACTCGTTCAATATTTGCAGGCGTACGCACCGTTCTTCGACGTCCAGGTTTTTTAATGTTTTGCACAGAGCCATTTTCACGCCAATGACGAACCCATGCCGAAATTGTAACGCGTGTTGGTGCATCGCCCCTATTATTATTTCCAAACTGCCGTCGAAATGCACGCCGAACTTCTTCCACTGAACCAGTTCTAATGTAGACTTCCACGGAAAACACACGCTCTTGAATTGAATAATTCATAACGCAATGAAAATTGTTAAAAAATGAAAATTAAATTAAGTTGTGACATTTGTGACTAAAACAATGAAGTGTTTACTTTTGTCGTTGCTTAGAGACAGGCGCCTACTTGTTAAAATGTGATCCTAATGGTGTAGCATCATTTGGTAATATTGGTTTGATTTGCTTCGTCGAGTAATGCGAAATTTTAAACTTAGAATTCAAAATTGCATTGAAGTCGAAGGAGGGCATTTGGAAGATATGATCTTTAAAAATTGAATTATTATTTATTTCAGTCATAAATCCCATAAAATTAGCTACATGTCAGTCCATTAAAAAGTTAATTTACTTTGATCAGAAAGTTTTTATTCGACTTTTAAACTGCATAGTCTAATATGGGGAACCCTGTATAAGCAAACTTGTAATTCAGTGTATGTTATTTTGTCAAAGTGTAAACTACTTTTTTTGTCATAGTGTTAAACACGTCGAATTTGGTAGCAAATGCGGGGAATTTTACTGTACTACTTTATTCAAAAGAAATCTGCAGCTAAAGCACACATAATTCTTGTTGAGACTTACGTTGACCATGCTCTGTGGCAAACAACATACATAGATTGGTTTAGTTTAGAGGCTTCAAAAATTATGACTTTGATGTTGAAGATAAAGAACGCTCTGGTGCACCGAAACAGTTTGAAGATGAAGAGTTGGAGATGGGAAAAAGTAGTGGCTAGCGATGGACAATACTTTCAGAGACATGTTTCTTACAATTTTTTTAAATGAATCATTAATTATCCCTATAAAATAGCGAGAACTTATTTAACATCCCATTAATACTGCAAAAATATTAACGAAACTCGCAATAGCGTTATTGCATGTTTTGAAACACTGTATATACAGTGTCTCAAAATCAGTTCATTTTATAAAGAATATTACTTCCAAAATTTGATTTCGGTCAAAAAATGCCTGCTGATGAGGTATTTTTGTGACAGAAATTTTTGATAAGGAAAACAACTGAAAAAATCTCAATACTAGAGGCTTTTCCAGTAATGGTTGTAAAAAATGAAATGGTAAAATCCTTGTTTAATTTTGGGGAAAAAAGTTTCCATGAAGGTAAGTTCTAAATGAATTTTTCGATATACGGCCGTTAAAGTTTTTAAAAATTATCAGATAAACACAAATTAGTTAAAATTTAGGGTAAACTTGAGCTGACTTAAAACATAGTAAATTAAAAAATTCACTGAATTTGTATGCAGTTATATCAACTAGTGGTAGCAAACCCTAGAAGACCCCCGAATCTCGACGGCACTGATTATAACTACAATAAGATAATTGATTGTATTTCAAAGGAAATATACAGGGTGTTAATGATAAGTTTTGCCAATCTTTAATGGCGTATTCTACCGATGAAAATAATCAAGATTTGCCGTATAAAAATTATTGAAAGGACGCTTCCCTATGGAGACACAAGGTGTTAAAAGTTTCAAATATTTATATGTATTATTTTTCCTGTAACTTCACTGGCAAAAAAGCCTGTAACTTCACTGGCATTCCAAATTACACTCCAGTGGCGTAGTTATTGGGGGGAGTGGGAGACCTTTTTTGAAAAAAATCTGGTTTTCTAAATAATTTTAAATGGTTTTAAAATGTACAATCAATTTGTGGCAATAAAGTATTATTGTAAAGTATTCGTAAAATTTACTGATCTTTAGATAATTGGGAAATCAAATAAGAATATACTTAAGTGCCTACGTTGCTATTTATCATTTTCTATTGATTGCTAAGTGTGGAACAATAAATTCAAAACCTAATATTTTTGAGAGATTTCAAAACACTATACAACATCACAAGAAATGTTATGACTGTTTCCTAGCAACAACTTGCAACCTACAGTACTGGTATTTTACAGTTGAAATGGATTTAATACATACCATATTTTTTTTTTATTAAAATCTGTTTTTATGAAAAATAACAAACTTTTTGCAACACACAAAATAGTCCAATTAAATGTGCCTTTAAATCACAATTTGGTCAACTTGCCTGAATTTTTAATATAAGTTAGTTTGAGGTATATTATTATACAGGGTGAGTCAAAATTCACTCCCCAACGGCCGGTTATATACCTACTCTAAGATAAAAAATAAAACAAAAATGTAGAATACTAAATTCTCGAAAGCGGAGCCGTTTTCGGAAAATTTTGTAAAGAAAAATTCAAATTTATAAATTTTTTGTTTAATATTACACCATTAAAATCCATTTAAATCCATACAAAATAAAAAATAGCAAAAACGAAGATCCTTCTGGCATTGGCTAACCTTCAAAAACATTACCATTTTCGTTAATACACTTCTGCAATCTGTGGTAGAAACTCCTGGCAACAGAACAGAAATTAGCTTCATTTATTTCCGCTACTGCTTCACGAATCCTGCCAATAACATCATCCTCGCCAACAGGCACAGTAAAATAAACCTTTTCTTTTATGTCTCCCCATACCCAAAAGTCTATCGGAGTCAAGTCAGGAGACCGGGGTGGCCATGGTGTTGGTCCACCCCTTTTAATCCATTTATTTTTAAAACGGCGGTTCAAAATATGTCGTACTTGTATTGTGGCATGTGGGGGGGCGCACCATAATGCTGAAGCCACATAGTCGATGTTGTATAGGAATATCTTCTAATTTTCACCACTCAGTATTCTTGGCAAAAAATATGGACTAATGATCCTTTTCCCGTAAATACCTATCCAAACATTTACTTTTCATGAGGATTCTCATAATGCCAATAATGAAGGTTGTGGTGATTGAAAACTCCTTGTTGGTTGAAATGAGCTTCATCGGTGAATAAAACATTATAGAAAAAATCGGGATTGCGCTGAAATTCTTGTAATGCCCATTCTCTGTTGGTATGAGCAAACCATTTCGTTGGTATGTGCAGCTGCCATTTTTAACTCGACAACAAATACTAAAGGTCAAATAAATATTATATGTCATTGTCAAGTAAATCCGTGTCAACAAGATTTTTGTCCGGCCAACTTGAATAGTCAGTCGAAAATTGCGCATTTATTGAACTAAAATTAATAATTTATTCGAAAACGGCTCCTCTTTCGAGATTTTAGTATTCTACATTTTTGTTTTATTTTTTACTTTAGAATATATATCCGGCCGCTGAGGAGTGAATTCTCACCCTGTATATTATACAATAAATGACTAATTTTTTTTTCAACCCCTGGTTAGGGATGAAAAAAGATAAAATAAAGGGGTTTTTCCAGATAACTCAAAAGGGGTAAGAGCTAGAAAAAAAAAATTCGTATAAAAGTTGTAGAGCATATAATTCTACATAAAAAAAACTTTTCTTGTACTATTAAGATTAACAGAGTTAGGGTGGCTAGAAGTTAAGGGATGAATTCAGAAATTTAAAAAATCATAAGCAGAGAAATGAATTAATTTTATATATTTTTTTTTCAATCTGCTCTAAAAAATGTAAGCTCTCTTTTCAGAAAAATAGATATATTTTTTAATTTTTAATAAAAAAGTTATAACAATTTCAATTTTTTTATCGTTAATTTTTATCATTTAACAATAAAACAATTTTTTCCTATGCCAAACGATTGATTATTTAAAATAATGAAAAGTTGCTTTGGAAATTTTCTTTTCCGATAAAAATAAAGATAAAAAAAATCACGTTCGTTTTGTGAAATTGTTATAACTTTTTTATTAAAAATTAAAAAAATATGTCTATTTCTCTAGAAAGGTATTTTACATTTTTTAGAGTAGATTGAAAAAAATTTTAATTCATAGATTTTCCTGCTTGTTATAATTTTTTAAATTTCTGAAATCATCCCTTAACTTCTAGTCTCCCGAACGCTGTTAATTTTAATAGTATAAGGAAAAGTCAACAGACCATTTTTATGTTTAATTTTTTGCTCTAGAATTTTTATAATAAACTTTTTTTTCTATCTCTTACCCCTTTTGAGTTATATTGAAAAAGCCCTTTATTTTATATTTTTTCACCCCTGGCCGGGAGTTGAAAAAAAATTACTGTCCTTTGTTATTATTATATATCTCAAACTAATTTATATCAAAAGTTCAGGCAAGTTGACCAAAATTGCGATTTAAAGGCCCATTTAATTGGACTAAAACAGTGGCGTTGTATAGTGTTTTGCAATCTCTCGAAAATATCAGGTATTGAATTTATTGTTACACATTTAGCAATCAATAGAAAATGATAAATAGAACGTAGGTATTTAAGTATCTTCTTATTTGATTTCCCAATTATCTATAGACCAGTATATTTTACGAATACTTTACAAGAATACTTTATTACCACAAATTGATTGTACATTTTAAAAACATTTAAAATTATTTTAAAAACCTGTAGCGTACGATTTTTTTTCAAAAAAGATCCTCTGCTCCCCCAATAACTACGCCACTGGAGTGTATTTTGGATTAAGTCCATGAAAAAATAGTCCCTACTATAAAAATGTCCCCCTAAATTTTATCATTAAATATTTTTTGCCAGTGAAGTTACAGGAAAAATAATATAAATATTTGAAACTTTTAACGCCCTGTGTCTCCGTAGGGAAGCGTCCTATCAAAAATTTTTATAGGGCAAAAGTTGATTATTTTCGAGGTATTTTTTTATGAAAAATCCTGTTTGTTTGGTAAAACTAAAATATAATAGGAGTTTTGGTTGCAATACGATTCTAAATATAATTTAATTATTAGAAATTCAAAAAAATCATTAGAAATTAAAAATTTTCTGAGGAATAGCAAGAGATAAATTTCTACGCCACTGACTTTGTCGAACTTAAAAGAAAATTATTTGCAATGTATTCAACTGTGTGGTAAGTTTATTTTAGGCAAAAAAATAACTCAATTATGACTCATTTGACAAAATAATGAAATACGAAGTCTTCAGTGTAAGTTTAATTATTTTACATCAGAAATATAACACCCCGTATCCCGAAAACTAGGCCGTTTAGAAAATTGAACAAGAATTCCACCATTTCCATCCAAAATTGCAAATAAAACATAAGAGACAACTGATGATTTAGATTGGGATCTCGTATTGAGTCTATCAGTAACGACTTTTGTATTTCCAAATATAGGGTATCCGGAAATGAATGGTCCACACTTCAGGGATAGCTCCTTTCGTTGAAAATAAATTTAGTTCTAGTTAACTAGCAAAATTTTACTTCCTTTTGCTTCCTTAAAAAGTTAGCGGGCTTCAAAAATGTTTTATTTTATTTTATTTTATTTTATTTTATTAACACCATGATAAAAATATGTTCCTATAAGTCCGATAACTTTTTAAGGAACTAATATTGTTCCAACTTGATCCAAATCGGTTTTTTTACCATAGGATACTCAATTAGATACGAAAGGTTCAAAAAGATTCGGTGATGAATGTACTGGGAAGCCCTCGACTATTATTAATAGTCCAGTCCGCAGAGGCCGAAAAGTTACTGTTGGTGACATTTCCTTGATAACTCGGAAATAACTATACAGGAATACTTTAAATGATGAGTACAATAACAGGCTAATTTGCTGACAAAGTATTTTATTAGGAAAAAGAGTTATTACCAATTTAATTTTGAAAAAAATTTTTTTTAGTAGTTTTCTTTAAATAACTCAGCGGGATGACTGTAACGAAAAAATGCTTAGGACATGATTTTGTTCGTAATAAAAATAGCTACAAATGGCGGTGGTCCGATTACGAAATTTGCAATAACAAAGCCGTGAGATTGAAAAAACGGTATATTTTCGGAAACTATAGTTCAATATCTATATATACAATAATGACGCTAAAGCCGAAAATCAGGAGAGCAAAACTTTTTGTTCTATAAGGTTTTATACATCCATCGGCATCTGAAACTCGAAACTTTGCCAAATTTGTTTGAAGTTTTGCTGATACTTGAAATTTGGTACACACATAGTGTAAATATGCAGAAACCAAAACCAATTTGCAAAATTCAAGTATCTTCATTTTTGCAGTTTTGGTAAGGTTTTATACGTCACCGTTTTTTTAATTTTTGGACGTATATTTATGTATATTTATAAAATATTCCATTACGGTAGATTAGCCAGCATAATTACCTACAATTTAAAAAAATATATATTTTCATCGTTTAGATCCTAAGCTACTTAACATTTTGCGCCTGTTAGCCGTAGTCGTACATTATTCAACATATTAACATAAAACAAAATCGTACGTGTGGGGTAAACCTTTAACTTTTCATTTTCGAGCGCGAGCTCCGCTCTTCGGCGCTTGTATACTATTAGAAATATGCAACAGTAAATTTAAACAATTGTTTACTTAAAGTTAAAGGTTTACCCCACACGTACGATTTTGTTTTATGTTAATATGTTGAATAATGTACGACTACGGCTAACAGGCGCAAAATGTTAAGTAGCTTAGGATCTAAACGATGAAAATATATATTTTTTTAAATTGTAGGTAATTATGCTGGCTAATCTACCGTAATGGAATATTTTATAAATATACATAAATATACGTCCAAAAATTAAAAAAACGGTGACGTATAAAACTAGGGTGACGTATAAAACCTTACCAAAACTGCAAAAATGAAGATACTTGAATTTTGCAAATTGCTTTTGGTTTCTGCATATTTACACTATGTGTGTACCAAATTTCAAGTGTCAGCAAAGCTTCGAACAAATTTGGCAAAGTTTCGAGTTTCAGATGCCGATGAATGTATAACACCTTATAGAACAAAAAGTTTTGCTCTCCTGATTTTCGGCTTTAGCGTCATTATTGTATATATATTGAACTATAGTTTTCGAAAGTTTTATCACTTTTTGTTTATAATTGACATTTTTACAGCAACTTTAAAAAATTGACGTTTTATGCCGTTTTTTCAATCTCAGGGCTTTGTTATTGTAAATTTCGTAATCGGACCACCGCCATTTTGTAGCTATTTTTATTACGAACAAAATCATGTCCTAAGCATTTTTTCGTACAAAGTCATCCCGCTGAGTTATTTAAAGAAAACTACTAAAAAAAAATGTTTTTCACTATTAATTGTTAATAACTTTTTTCCTGATAAAATACTTTGTCAGCAAATTTGCCTGTTATTGTACTCATCATTTAAAGTAGGCCTGTGTAGTTATTTCCGGGTTATCAAAGTTTGACACAGGCCGAACCTCTACCAACTGGACTATAATTTAATAGCGTTCGCATATTAACCGTTTAGATTTTTGAGATAATTTGAAACAGGAACATCTGTTACATTATAGACAATTCACCGTTTTCTTCAGAATATTATTTGAAATCAGTAATATCATTAATGTAGTAACAATTTACAAAGTGTTTAACTAAGCACTTAAACTACTTCAACGTTTCGTATTAGAGAAGCTCTCTGTATCATCTGTATTTCTTGTTGTGGAGATATTGAATTGAATTGAAGAGAGCACTATTTTAGTTTCCCAATAATGTATTAGATGTGCAAAAAAAATCAGTAATCTGCCCAGAAGTAACTGTGACAATAAAAAATACTTAAAAATAAAAAAGTTGCGGTATATGCAACATTCGCTTTTTTCAAAAATTTCAAGAATTCAAATAGTTAGAACTAGTCTATGTACGTTAAATTAATAAAATCGTCTAACACATTCTCTATTTAATCGTTTTTCTGTCACTTATATTTTCAAACTATATACAGAATGCTCTTAAAAAAGTAAAGTAATTTATGCATATTCAAGATAATTTGTTTTTTGTATGTGCAGAACCAAATTATCATGAACAAAATAGAAGTAATGATAGATAACAAAAGTGGAGGAGGATTGTAGTGAACAAACACCCAAGACAAGACAATGAAGGGCATATAAGAAAAACCAAATGACGCAAATGATTTGTTCAAAATTAAATGTGTATGTAATATGCTTTCAAAATTGAGCACTTCTACCTTTCCTTTAAAACAAAGAAATATGATATATTTGAACTGAGATTATTCTAAAAAAAAAACTATTTTTTAATGGTTAAAGTTTGGTTAACTTATTATATATTCATTGATATATAAATATCTGTACCACTTACTCGTTGATCTAATATTTTATTGTGGAATCAGTTCACCAAGCGTTGACTGGTACCAAAGGTACGTTATCTGAACCTCTTAATTATGAATGACACGTTAACAAAAGTAATATTAGTTAAATATAAATGATGTATAGTACTATAGGTACTTACGGCTAGGTTGGTGAAGATAATTGGAAGATCTATTTCTAATGTTCTGGCATCAGAACTATAAGATATAGTAACATCATCAGCCCTATCAATAGTAGCAATTCCACTCAGACGTCCATTGGTTAATGTGATGGATGATTCAAGAAACTAAAAAATTTATCGAGACCATTAATATAATGCAGATAATGCATGAATATTTTAATTTAATTTACATGTGGCCGATATTCATTATAATTATTATTATCAGATATTTTAAAGAACACAAAATAACTGTTAGAGCATTTTTAATAATATTTTATTTTATTTATTTTTATTATCGCTTTCTCTATTCATTTATTATTGGTACCTTACGCTAAGTGATTTTATATACGTATTTTCATATGGACAAAAAGTTAATATTTCTGGGGAAATATTTGATATATTTCAAAATTATAGCGATACCGATGGGAATTTAAATAGAAACGATGGTAGTAGTATATCTAAAAAATTGTTTTGAATACACATATACATATAATTTGTCATATTGGATATTGTGAGGTAATACAATTGAGTGTATTACTTAAAAATCATAAAAAAATAATCATAACTTGTTTATATAGATCGCCATCTACTAGTTAACATATTTTTTTAGATGAACTGAATCTGCACTTGGAAGAAACAAAAAATTTAAACGTTTTTTCTCATATCTTAGTAGGAAATATAAATATAAAAATTAATATGGAAAATGATATTGTGCATAAGTATCTTGACACATTCATTAAGCGAATATAGTTTTGCATCAATCATAAATAAAAACACGAGGGTACATTGTGCAACAGGTAACTGTTTCGATCACATTTTTGTGAATTGTAAAAATTCTAGTTTTGAACAAGACAGTGTTTCTATGGTATTTAAAAATTATATCACTGACCATAGAGCAACAATATTAGGTTTAGCTATAAAAGAAATCAGTCCAATAATAATCCAGTCAGAGATATTTGTTGTATAAACTATAAAAAGTTAAAAATTGATTTGAACAGCTACAACTGGACTAGTTTTTATAATGAAACAGATGCTAGCACCTTGACAGAGGAATTTATTTCTTTATTAAAATCTTTAATTAAAAACATAGAAGCACAAAACATTAAAAGAAAATAACATAAAACGTAAACAGTGGATCACACAAGGAATAGTAAACTCAGTTAATGAAAAAAATATATTAATATTATTAATTATATCAAGAATTTAAAAGAGAACCAGCAAATGAGCAAAAAAAAGATAGATATATTGAGTATAGAAAACTTTTAAACAAACTGATTAAGAATGCAAAATACGATTATTATAATAAACTTATAAATATCAACAGAAATACGCCTAAAAACCTGTGGAAAGTAGTAAAAAACATTTCTATTCTTGAAAATCGTAAAGAACCCAAAGTGTTATTAAATAATAATAACGTTATCTGTGACAATCCTGATAGTATTGCAGAATAATTTAATAATTTTTTTACTGGTAAGTATAAAAATGGTTATGTAAAGTGTGTAAATAATTATAGGCCAATCTCAATGATATCAACGTTCGCGAAAATATTCGAAAGAGCTTTAATAATGCGAATTTTTTTGATGAAAATAATATTATCTCAGAGAAACAGTTTGGATTTAGAGAGGGTGTATCAACTAATTTTTTTAGAAAAAAAGTAAGCCAACATTATGCGTATTTTTGGATTTTACACTCGGATGCTTGAAGTCCTGCTGAATGCAGGAATACGAGGTACGCCAAATGAACTATTTAGAGATTACTTGTCAAACAGACGGCAAGTAGTAAAAATTGATAATATGCATAATACAGAAAAAAATATTAATTACGGCCTACCCCAAGGGATTGTGTGCTGGGACCAATTTTGTTTACATTATATATTAACAATATCCTTACTTCTTTTACATCCGGCCAAATAGTTATGCAGATGACACTGTTATTTTATTTAACGATGAAACATGGGAAATTTAAAAAATAAAACTGAAATAGACCTGTCAATGATTTTTAAATTGTTTACCCACAAATTATTAACGGTAAACAACGAAAAAACATTTTTATGCCATTTTTCAACAATATAAAATATCTACCTAAATATCACTCTCTGTTACTGAAAAATAATATAATATTAAATTCTAAAAGTGATTTTAAATACTTGGGAGTCACCATTGATTCTCATTTATGATGGAATGTTCATACAAGTAACATAATCAAAATACTATCGTTTTAAATACCTAAAAAATATTTTAGATTTATCACACTTAAAAATATTATATTAGTCCAATCAAGACTGCAATATGCAATACTGAGCGCTGCATATTGTCACCTTAGGCAAGTTGATATACTACAAAAGCGCATAATAAAGATAATTTATAATAAAAAGCTAATTTATCTGAGACATTATTCCGAGAAACTAGAATACTTGATATTAGTATATGCACTAGATTGTTCTCTTTATCTACAAAAACAAAACGTTTGTAAAAGTCAGTCATTGTTATTGTACAAGATATAAAGAAAATAATAATGCAAAAATTGACATTTCACAAAGAAATACCGCTGTCATGCTCACCTGTCACAAAAAATCTTTTACAATTTGCCACAAATGCCAAAAATAAAATCATTAAACATGATAAAAAAGATTTTTAAAAAATATATAATTACATTAGGTAGAACAGAAACTAGGAATCTAATTGAAATTCTTAACTAAATAGCCTTCTTTCCTGACGCTTTGTACACGTAGTCCATTCAATATATAATTTTTCTTTTTTTTAGGTTTAGTTACTTTTTTCCTTAGTTTGCATGTTCTTTGATACTACTTATATTACTGTTATTTCATTTTATCTTTATAAATATAAGCGTCATCAATATGATTATAGCCATACTGTCCATGCACAACCATGTTTTGGTTTTAATGGAAAATTGTATTCTTTTTCGTTTATTTAGACGCTCTACCTACAATGTATTGTAAATTGTAAATGTAATAGTACTTGTAGTCAAAAATATACTATTATTATTATTATTATTAATTACCAAAACAGTAAATCGACACATCTATACGTTTTTGAAGTCGCTGAATCCGAATCGGTGTTCGTTTGACCCGATCAGGTCTGGGTTAAGATCAGTTTAAAGTCAAACGTAGAGAATCAATTGCCAATAAAGTAAACCTACATATTTATATCTACGTTTTTGGGGTTGCTGAATCCGAATCCGGTGTCCGCTTGACCTGATCAGATCTGCTAAATACTCTCAAGTTCTAATCTGAAAATACTCAAGTTAAGCATTTATGCGTATTAAAAATTGAGTAACAAATAAGATAAGAAAGAAAGCCTTAACTCTGAGCACGTGGCTCTCGAGTTAATTGTTTTGACATGACAAAATTCTAGTATCAATAATCTTGGGTAATCAAGTAAGCTTTAAACCAATGTGTCTATTAATGCGTCATGTACATTAATTTACACAGGAGTCCTATCGATTGAGATTCTTGAGAACAGTTTATCAAGAGGTTTTCTGCCTTGATGAATCACATGAAATCACTATATCTCACTATTATGTTACGGAGACAACTACTCACTTTTATAATATTGAACTATTTTGTCAAAAGATCTGCGCAATAGACTTCTTTCATGTTTTGTCGATATCAATGGTAAATCTCGTTTTTTTCACCAGCAGTAATCGACTGACATGTTTATATTATATCTGCCTTGGTACCAACGGACGCTACATTTCCTTAATACCGTTGTGAAATCTTCCTCCCTGCTCCTCAAACCCAATCAAATTCTTCACTTTGGGATTCAAAACCAAACAAATTTTTATATTTATTTTTCGTATGCTGATTGAGGTTTATTCTATTCTTGCATTGTCGGAGTATATTTTCTGACGTATCGAAGAAGTCTTGATCACCTAAAGTGTTTGCTACCTAGGGTACCTTTGCGTGGTGATGGTGGACAACGACATTTTGTACATTTTTTCTGTCATTAACTAAATCCCTGGGTGAAGGTGTTTCTGTCGTCGCGTCATGGCAGAGCAGGAAACCTGTTATGATGCAGGGATTAGGAACCTCAGTCTCGGCTATTGTTCACTGTGAGCAAACCGGCCCGCAATCGTCGTCATCATGCGACTGTTTACTGTTTGGTATTGGGAAACTTGGCTACTGAAGAGACTACTATTACAAGAATTTACCATCTAAGAATACGAGTATGTAGCAAGTATGAGGCTCGTAGAAAGATCCAACAATGTTTAAAGATGCGTATAAAAGTCTGTTTGGTTTTAAACTACAAAGTGAGGAATTCGATAAGGCAGAGAACCTCTTTTCTTGAATAACTGTTCTCAAGAACCTCAATCGATACGGATTCACTGTGTAAATTAATGTACATTTATCTTATTTACTACTCAAATTTTAATACGCATAAATGCTTATCTTGTTTTGAATTTAGAACTTGAGATTCGGATTCAGCGACCCCAAAAACGTATAGATATGTAGGTTTACTTTGTTGGCAATTGATTCTCCACATTTGATCTTGAACTGACCTTAACCCGGATCAAACAGACACGGACTCGGCGACCCCAAAAATATACAGGGTGATTCAGAACTTATCCAAAAAAAATTCTGGATGTACAGGGGCCCTTACAAATACAATTTCGTAAAGAAAAAATCAAAAAGGGCAGTTCGAAATTGATTTAAAAATACACTTCTGCACGGCATTGGAAACTGGTCCACTGTAAAACCTGACCTCGCACAATGCGAGGCATGAGCGGCATGGCGGTGTGATAAAAACGGACAAAAACTTTCGCAAGGAAAGAAATAAATAGGATTTTATAGCACCTATTTTATATCGGCAAATTCAAATGCTTTTGCCTTTATTAATTATTAATAAAATTAATTTGTGTTTTTAAATAATAAAATCATTTGGCATAGCCCATGTTACAACAACAATTGTTCAAAATTTTATTCTCTAACGTGTAAACACATTTGGGTCCGTTTTACTCACTTTCTACGAACTAACACAAATGATGTCTTGCTTCACCATAACACAAATGCTTCACCATAATACAAATGCTGTCTTGCTTCACCATAAATTAAAACGATATCCATCAACTCTGAGTTGCTATACTCGCAAACCATTTTTGACACTAACTACTAAAAAGCTGTTGTAAACAACACAGATAACAGGTAAAAACTACCGCAACGACGGATTTCAGTATTAGGAGTCACATGGCTCTCCACGCGTATTGCGAATGACGCTAGAGACTACAGTTGTCCAGCTATGTAGTGGATGAATTTACTATAACTTCAATAATTTTTTTCTCGGAAACTATAAGGATTTTACAAAAAATTTTTCTATGTTATTAACTCCATTTCTCATGCCGCATCTATTCCCAAATTTTTTAATCACCCTGTATAGATACCATAGTATTGTCTTTCGGACGTCCCACTTTTTTTGTGGGACGTGTTATTATACAAAGTGTTTACATCATGACGATAAAGCCAATACTGCATGACCAGCCAATTCTCTCAACGATCAGTGCGTTTTAGTGGTATGTTCACACACAAATTAGGCGTGTGCTTTCACTCATTTGTGTAGTAAATTTCGAACGTTCAGTAATTTTACAGTGTATATAAACGTGGATTTTACATTGCTCCTAAAGGAACTATAGTACGATCCGTAAATGCACAAATTATTTTGTAACTACATGTGACAATTAAAGTACCAATGTATATTTTTTTGCAAAGTTATAAAAGTAAAAAAATACAACATTGTTCTAGATTAATATCAAGTAATTGAATATCGAAGAATATGCAATTTATCTATGCCATTAATATCGTTTATTATCTTGGTATCTCAAGTGGTATCATTTGTCAAATATCCTTGAAATTAATTTAAATTAATTTACTTACATTTCGTTTCATGTCATCTAAGGCTAGCGGGTCTAGATTATTTTCTAATGCATAGTTTTCAATGTTCATAAAAACCGTGTGAGAATACTCGTTGATCAGCGCAGTAATTTCCCTAAAATAAGCAAAAATAAGTACTTTGAATAAAAGCTACCATCATTTTGCATACATTTAGCTGAAAGAAATTCTAAAAATAAAATAAGATGGAAAAATATATACAAACGCTTTTTCTGCAGGTACGTTATGTGATTTATTCTCAGATTTATTTACCATTATGGTCGTCGAGGTAATTTACATGTAGATCTGAATTTGTTACTTATTTAAGGTATTTTGTTACTAATTTTATGATATTTAAAAAGTAAAATTTCGTTCCTTGATAATTCTTTTAAAAAGTGTAAGTTAATTCAAATATAAATATCACTATAAAGCAATATTTCCAAGAATTTATTTTTAATTCCTAGGATTTTTTTTATTTATAAAACGGTCTTTGATGTATTTTTGAATTAATACCTACTGTGACCAATAGAGCACTTATATTTCCTAGGGCATGTTCGGCTAGTAAAGGAATTAAATTTTTGTATGCAATTATAACACACAAAAAAAATGTTTTTCGAATCTTAAGGTCAGACTATGTCTACTATATGTTTTCGGGGTCACTGAATCCGAATCCGTGATACATTTAACCCCATCACGTCAGGTTTTACGATAATTTCATGTCACCTTATAACCCAAGCTTTCAAGTCCTCTTACACACAATGGTCCTAAAAAGGGAGATGTGCACCCACAATTACCCCATTCAACCTGAAACCTCCTAACCCCATAACCGATAACTCCAATAACCACGTTACTCAGTAGTTTGACTTGATCTCTTATAGCGGGATGAGATATCAAGGCAATATAAACAGAATATATTTAACCCTATAATCCCCTAACCTCCTAGCCCCATAACCCTATAACCCCATAACTTCAATATCGACATTACACAGTAGTTCGATTGTTTGATGCAAGGAACATAGTCTACATCGTTATTGACTCCCAGTTTCATCATTTCCAGTAGATTCTCCGTCAATTTAAAAAATACCATGCCAAATGAAGTTCATGGCTTTTTTGTAATTGACGGAGAGGAGAATCTAATGGAGATGATGAAACTGGGAGCCAACAAAGATATTCCTTGCATCAAACAATCGAACTACTGCGTAACGTGGTTATGGGAGTTATGGGGTCATGGGTTTATAGAGTTATGGGGTTAAGGGGTCGGGGATTATAGGGTTAAATATATTCTGTTTATAGAGCCCTGATATATCCCGCGATGAGAGTTAAACTACTGAGTAACGTGGTTACTGGAGTTGTCGGTTATAGGGTTATAGGGTTATGGGAATATATGGGGTTAGGAGGTTTGAGGTTGAATGTATAGGATTAAGGGGTTATTGTGGGTGAACAGCTTCCTTTACAGGACCGTTGTGTGCAACAGGACTTGACAGCTAGGGTTATGAGGTGATATGAGGTTATCGGTAAAACCTGACGTGATGGGGTTAAATGGGTCACGAATTCGGATTGAGCGACCCCGAAAATTTGTAGTAGACATAGTCTGACCTTCAGACTCGAAAAACTTTTTTTTTGTGTGGCTGTGTAATTATACGACATATAAGGAAAAAAAAGCTGGTACAGGTTAATATTTTAAAATTTAAATTTTTTTCTGGTAAAACGGCAATAAATAGCCGCCAGTAAATAAACTATTTATTTTTCTCCCTAAGACAACATTGAGAAAACAAATTTATATTTTTCCAACATTTAGCAGGTGGATTTTTTTGGTAAATAAATCTATAAATCTAAAAAATATATTCCGCTACTTTAGAGATGAGAAACTATGTGACTAAAATACTTTAAAATAAAGTAAAATGTGAAACCATATAGACTTTTTGATCTAATAAGTGTATGAAGGCTGGTTTTCATTTAAGGTACTGTGTTCCGATCGTGTTCCGTTCATGTTGTCTCGTCTAGAATCTCAAACTTATATTTCTCCATATAATAGCATGGAAAATATCAAACCTGCCTGCGGTTAGAAGATAGATAGATCTAAATGTTGAGTTCTTCTTCTGAATATGTGGACGAAGCAATTCCAATAGGTCTCGAAATTTTGGATAACTCATTAGGAAATACTTCACAAATTNCCCTAAGACAACATTGAGAAAACAAATTTATATTTTTCCAACATTTAGCAGGTGGATTTTTTGGTAAATAAATCAATAAATCTAAAAAATATATTCCGCTACTTTAGAGATGAGAAACTATGTGACTAAAATATTTTAAAATAAAGTAAAATGTGAAATCATATAGACTTTTTGATCTAATAAGTATGATAGACCAATGAAAGTGAACAAATAGGAAGTTTGATATGCGATAATATTTACTATACTATAATAAACCATGCAACGAAGAGATTGGGACAAAATACTGGATCTGAGAGTGGGATGTAGTAGGATGTACATACATAATTTAAATTTATTATTGATTCGAGTATTTAGTTTCACTTTATACGAAAATTGCTCTTTCAATTCTCTGAACCTGTCAATTAATATTTAACTGAACTGTTTGGAGTAATATTTGGATATTTTGTTGTCAAATCACTCTGTAATAGTGTAATAATACTTTGGTAATTCTATGAGAATAAAGTAAGCCGTAGGAACATTTGTTAATGCATTGTGGGTAGAAGTTCTTGTGATCTTTTTCCAAAGCAGTCAGTCATAGCTAGGAAGATGAGTTAATTTTTAATTGAAAGTTGGGAATACAGTTTAATAGTTTTAATATGCAGTTTAGTAAAGAAGCTCAAAAGTTCAAAAGTTCACAAGACAAAATTTTTATAGTTTAAACTACGTGCCTATAAATATTTATTAATTCTCCAATTAAATTTAATACACTCAATTCAAGTGTCCTTTGATATATTTGAAATATATCATTCGTTAAGAGTTTTTAAGATAAATATGTTTATCACTTTTTATACATTTTTACATAGTCTTATCATTTTTCTGTCGTAAAGAGAACCGCATTCTATACATGATTTTTAATCTATCTACTTACCCTGCCTCATATTTATTTAAGATCTTATCCACCAATTTTTTATCCAGTTTAGATTTAAGGTTTTTCACCGTCATATTTTTAACATCAAGAATTTCATTTGCCATTGATAAGGCAAATACAGTAGTAAGTAAAATAAATACCTTCATCATTACTGAGGAACTATAAACTTGTGCGATGTTGAGGTAATACTGTAGTTGTTTTATAAGTGTTTACACCTTTTATAGTGATACAATTTTAAAATATAATTAACATCCATTGGTTGTCGAATAATAGATAAGCCCTTGAGTGGGATTGGACTAAAATAGAATCGACATCTCTTACTGAAGTATTCGTGAGAGGGATGTATTCATAGATATTTTTATTATTGTATTGTATTGTGTATTTACAGTAAATATATAAAAATATTTTACACTTTATCTTTTGAAAGTGATAGGTATAAAGCTTTATGTACCTATTTAAATAAATTAGTGTTGAATGTAGAATTAGTTATTACAAAAAAAGCTAAACAAAAATGCTGATTTGAAGTATAATGCAAATAAAATTTGAATGGGACTTTAGTAACAGTAAATTGTTAAAAGATAGTGTAAAAGGCTTCCAACTGACAAAACTAGTGTGTATAGTGAGTGACTAAAGCAATCTACTAAACATTAATAAAGCAAATATTCATGTTGAACCATAATTAGCTAAAAGGTGTCCCAAAATTCATGCAATAAGTAATTTTAATAGAAAACAGAGGTTTTTAATTAAAAAGTGTAAATTTTGTATTGATCTACAGTACAAAGCCATGTATGAAATAGCATATCGGGTAAATTACCTCCACGGCTTTGCTGGCATTCTTTTATCGAGATTTTCCATGACCGTTTTGCTGAATTTCGTTGATACAGCGCTCAATTTTCTCCTTCAAAGGCTTGGTGATATAATCCCTAGACTTCAAAAAACCCGAAAGAAAAAAGTCCAACGTCGTCAAATCGCATGATCGGGGTGGTCAATTCTCATCACCAAGACGGAAAATTACACGACCAGGAAATGACTCATGCAGTAATTGAATTGTTTCTCCGGCTGTATGGCATGTGGTACAGTCTTATTGAAACCACATGTCGTTTGCATTCATATCTTGCAATTCAGGTGAAAAAAACGGGATAATCATGTCGCGATTATGAGCACCATCAACTGTTTTTGCCTGACCAGCCTCATTTTCGAACAGGAATGGTCCGATGATGCTTCAAGCCCAAAATCCGCACCAAACAGTGACACATTGTGGATGCATTTACTTTTCAACTCACTCACTCGTTGATTTTTCTAAACCTCGAATGCGACAATTTTGTCGATTAACGAAGCCATCAAGATGACAATAAGCCTCATCGCAGAAGATGATTTTGTTCGAAAAATCGGCATAAACTTGTTCCATAATTCATTCAACGAACTCTCTTCGTTCTGCGTGGTCAGTAGACTTCAGTTCTTGAGTCAATTGAACTTTGTTAAAATTAAGATGCAAATCTTTCGTGAGAATACGCTGTGGAGAGCTTCTTGAAATGTCCAGTTCTTGACCACAGTACGGAATTGATATTCCTGGACTACCAGCAATACTCTCACGAACTACTTCGATGTTTTGTGTTGTTTAAGGTCACTAATTGATCCAGTCTCCTTGAATTTTTCAATTAATCTCTTCACGGTTGATGAAGTTAAACCTACTATTCCGATAATATTTTTTATGAAAAGTGCGAGCTGTAGCTGCCAAACCTACATTATTTTTTAAATATTGCTCAACAATTAAAAAGCGTTGTTCTTTCATGTAGCGCAACATTGTTAATAACCCTGAACCATCAGCTGTCACGCTGTTTTTGTTTTCATTAACATAAAAAATGAAGCAAAATTCAATCTTGCGTTAATTTTGGGACACCCGACACTGTGACCAAATTTTGTTGCATTAATTTCGGGACACCCTGTACAGTGCGTTCATGATGGAAGTTAGTTTAAAATTCAGATATGCAATTAGGTATGTTGTACAAGAAGGCTCGGGTACGTCGATTAATATTTTTAGTTGCGGATTTTTTGACATAAGAAAATTGTATACAGGGTATCTCAAGAAGAATATATGCGTCATCATTGTTTTTTTTTTAATGGAACATTGCCATTTTTTAATTTTACGGCAAATTCTGAGCACTTTTTGTATAACATACCATTTCTCTAAAATCAGTTTTTTTCGTAATAATGACGTTTGAAATGTGATAAATTGAAAAAAATTAATGCTTAATCATAAAACATTATTCAAATAACAATTGCTTTATAATAAATATTCAATGTTTTGTCCGTTTACTTCAATACATTTTTGTAGACGAAGGATTGTTTCCCGTTGAACGTTTTTAATTACCTTTGCTGGAATAAGTCTTATTTCCTGTTGTAATCTCTGTTTCAGGTCATAAAGATTATTTGATCTATTCACATAAACTTTAGATTTCAAATAACCCCATAAGAAGAAATTTAAAGGGGTTATTCGGTGACCTTGGTAGCTAGTCAATAGGACCTTTGTGTTCAATCCACTTATTAGGGAAAGTTAGGTCAAGAAATTATCGAACAGCAATTGCAAAATGAGGAGGTGTCCCATCGTGTTGGAACCATACGCCATTAAGAGGATATCTTATCTTGTGGATAAGAAAACACAACAGCTAAAGCGGGGACTTCAAACTGAAGAAAGTCCAAGTAGCGTTCTCCATTTAAGTTTTCTTCAAAAAAATAAGGTCGAGGTTTTCGACAATTTCCTACCCAAACATTTATTTTTTGACGATGCTGTGTGTGACAGACTTGTGTCCAATGAGGATTTTCAGTTAGCCACTACCTGCAGTTTTGTCTTTTTACGTGTCTATTTAAGTCAAAAAGTAGACCCATCAGAAAAAATAATCTTTCGGGTGAAATCTAAGTTTTGTCGTCTCAATTACATTTCTGCTCACAAAACTGCGTTCTTCGGTCAAAATCATCTTCTAATAGTTTATGTATCAATTGAACCTTATAAGGATATTTATTTTTTCGGAGTACATATTTGTGACACAGATACCGATGACAAATTACAATTCCTGGAGATTGTCCTAACGGTTACATAGGGATTATGTATGTATGTATGTATGTCGGAGGGTGGTGGAATTGTCTTCCACCACGGCACTTAGGCCTTATTAGGCCCTTTGTTCGTCTTCTTTCATTACTCGAGTACTTTTCTTCAAACCATCTTATTTACTACACGGATGGCTTGGTGGGAAAGTCTCGTACAGTTTATGTATGATAGCATGGTCTTGAGTTACAGAGATTTCTTGCTCTGTTCTCATTACCATTTATAGGGGACCACACGCGTGCGGCAAATGTTGGGAGACCCAGGTCTCTTGGTAGGCTGCCACAGCCACGTCCTCGAGCCTGCCATAGGTCACCCATCCAAATTCCAGCCCACGTCCGTGATGCTTGACTCGGCAGATCGAAATCCGCCGGCCAAGACACCCGGCTAGGCGGTCCCCCTACATAGGGATTATTTACAGTTTCTAGTAAAACGTCTAGTTTAGAATCCTCTGATATTTATGCTGGTCTTCCTTTAGGTAAATCTCTAACGTGGCCGTACTCAGCAAATTTCAGTTCAATTTTGCTGACAGTAGATCTAGTAATTGGAGGTCGATCAAGATGAATTACATTAAATAAATTAGACATTTCTTGTTGACTACCGACTCTTTCTCCAAAACCAGTCATCATAAGTATTTCAATAAGTTCATTCTCAGAAAAATGCATTTTTAAAATGAAACGTAAAACTGACAAAAACAACACTGACAAACTAAACGCCGGTGATAGTTTAGTTTTTATTGTCACAAAATACTACATCACACTGGTCTAGGGGTTAAGGAATGAAAAACGATTAATACGAATAAAATTGTTTTGTTTATGATGAAATTTGGCATACTAGGTTTAGACTAGGCGGTATCTGTTTTGGTTTGGGTGAATCGTATATCCACTGAGATTTTTGGCTTTTTGGCAAATATCACTAGAAATGAAAATTTTTCTATGCGCATAAAAAAAAGTGGGCTTAATTTTTGGCGGCACAATATGTTAAAAAAATTCGAAAACTGTCATATTTTTCTTCCTATTTCATTATTTATCTTTTCAAGAATTGATTTTACGCGAAAATGGAAGAGGAAAAAATGTTTGTAATTAAATTTTACAAACTATGACTAGTTACAAATAGAATGAGTCATGATTATTATTGTAAATATCGAAAAAATTGTTAATAATAGGGTTAAAAAACATTACTTTTTAGGGATTTTTTTTTGGGGTCTTTAAGTTGGGTATAGGAACTTCATACTTGGCTCAAATAAAGTATATGTTATGTAGAATCATCACACCAAATTTCATCGGTTATATGGATTTTGCATAATAATTTTGCAATCCAGATTTTGAAAAAAAAAATGCAAATTTTCAAAATTTTGCACAGCAAAAACCAAGGCCCTTAGATACTTGAAAATTTAATCACATATAGAAAGTCTCTCAAGCTTTCAAACGCTTTTTGAAAAATTCGAATCCATCTGATATTCATTTCGGTTCTTATTGTGTCTAAGGCCACTACAGTCGGAACAGCTCCTCAGGTGATGATGATCCTCCGTACTGACTTATGCAACTAGTCGGATCCGATGCCGTTTCTCCGTTCTCCACTTTCCATTTTCAGTGGTAATTCAGCAAATGTTTCGCCGCGACTGAACCTCAGCGTTTTCCATATGTCTCTTCATTTATAAAAATAGCACCTACGTAAAAGTTTTTTACGTATGTGCTATGTCCGACTACAGATCCTATATAAGCAATAATTTAAAATTAAGTTAATTATATTTATTTTCTTTATAAAATTTGCAAATACAAGAAAAATGTTTTGAAATAATTGGTATGAAGTATTACATTTTTCAATTGTATGGAATGCATTTTAAAGTTAAAGAAGTAAAAATATATACCTATATTACTTTGATATATATTTACTTAATTGCAACATTTCGTTGTAAAATTGTTTTACAGGGTAATTCAATAATAATGGGCCAGAGCTTAATGCATCAAAATAGAGCGATTAGGTAAGCCAAACATGCCTAACGGAATGTTACTCCTTTTCAATCTACAGGGTGTTAAAGTTACATTAGTTCTCACAAGTAGAATTCTAAGGGAT